CAAAGCATTATAACTTTCTTATAATTTTTCATTCTCCTCATCTAATAAACTTTACAAATCACTTTTTATATTAGTAAATCTATATTTAATACAAGAAAGACAATTCTCTAATTCATTTTCAATTTACTTCTCTAAATCTTATTATATTGTATTTGTTATAGGTTAAAATTCTATCTAATTAAACGAATCTAACTGTTGTTTCACTTAATCATTAAACTATTCAATAGTTTTTCTTTAATGAGTTGCATGATCTTCTAAAAAACAATCAGCACAACCTAATCATTTTAAATTAATAATACCAATCTTTTGTTATGTTTAACATATTGGATCTACACAAATATATTTCATTCTCTATGAATCATGGTTAGAGTTTTAACAGTTGATTTAATCCATTAATTTTATTCACAAGAAAAGCGCGAAAGAAATTTGCGGTATTTATTAATTTTTTCACTCAATACAATTTTCATTTTAATTTTGTATATATATTTGATTTTTCGATTCCTAATCAAAAATGAGATCAATCAATCACCATTATTTTTATATTTTTTTAAATTAATTAATGATATATTATATTATATACTTTTTTATTCACAATTCAATGTAAATATGATCTATCTCTCTCTTGAATATATTTCCTATCAATATCATCCTTAATTGCATTCACCTATTTATATTTCTCTTTTTATCTTGTACCCTTTTCAATTTTAAATTATTATAAAAATACATTTATTATTTTTGAATAGAGAATATTTATATTTACTTTAAATATATACTAATCAATTCACCACTTTTCTGTATTTTATTTGTACTGTTTGTTGTTTTCTCAAAATATTTCATATATTCCAATAGCATAAATTTTAAATAAACCTTAGTATTATCTTAACTTAGAGAAGAATAAATTTTTAGCAAATATATATAAATAACTTTTCTATTTCATTATAATCATTAGGGTTGGGTGAAATAATTCAATATCTTTTTTGTCAAATTTATTAATACAAGTGCATACTCCATTTCATGTTTAGAATAATGAGAATGCTTATTCAAATGAGACATCATAATATAGATTCATATTTTAAGAAAAGAGCTATAAGTAAAAATGGTATTGCAAAATATAGATGATTTATTTTTGTAATATTTTTTAATTTAATTTATTATTTCACTAATATTCTGATGTTTTTAATAATCTATAATGTTTGTAGTCCTTAGTTATATAGTTCAAATCTAATGGAATAGATGTAAAAAACTCAAATAAATCATAACTTGTATGTAATGATAAAAATTTAGATTCACTAACAAATATTTCAATGTATTCTTTAAATTAAATTAATTATCAAGTTTAAGCATAAGACTCTAGATTTAGATGAATTATCTGAAAGCTTTAAGAGAGTATTTATACAAATCAATAAGAAAAATAAAAATAAGATAATAATAAAATTTTGAATTATTTAAACTAAAGTGAATTATGTGGTAAGATTAAGTTACTTTAAATGCTTGATTCTATAAATTAAAAATTCTAATATGAATTTTCAATAAAGGAGAGAGTGCATTGTAATAAAAGGACTCTTCAAAGAATAGCTCTGAATTAAGAATTTAAAAAATTGAATTATTTTTTAAGAAAATAAATAGATAATATATGGTATTGATTTATTTTTTAATGTATTATGTTAATGTATCAATAGACATTTCCTTCAAAGGTTTATTTGAACCATTCAATAGCTTCCTTTTTGCTAACTCTCTAAGCAGTTCCAAGTCTGGCATTTCTTGACTTTCTTTAAGCAACTCTTAAACCTGGTCTTGATAAGACAACATAGAAATCCATACCAAAAATACCTACGCAACATTTTAATTATTAATACCTGTATATGGGTCATATTTCAATCCCAAATCAATATGTTCTTAAATACCAAAACCAAAGTTTCCTGAGTCAGAGAAATTTCTCTTTTTTAATTCCATTTCCTTAACTCTTAATCCTCTAAATAAGATGTCTTTTGCTTAATCACCTCTAATTGTGCAAAATACTGAAATCTTTTCGTTTCTTCTAATACCGAAAGATCTGACTGTGTATCGTGCCTTACCAAATACAGGCTTTTATCCTGTTAAATCCTCTAAAACTTTAGCAGCTTTAGTCAATTTATCACCAGACTCACCAGCACAAATGTGAACCATTAATTTTTCAATTCTAATCTTTCTCATTACATTCTCTTTTGTTTCTTATGGTTTGACAACTTTAGCTGGACCTTAAGTCTTTGCTTCTGGCTTTGCTTATTATCCTTTTCCACCTTTTGCTTATTGTTAAGACATCTCAAAATTTAATTAAAAAAATCTTTATTTTTAAAATCACACATTTAATATTTTTATGCTTATTATTTATATCTCTTAACTTTATCAAATGAAAAGAAAATATCATCAAAGATAATCAATTCTATTATTTAATAAGATTTTCAATCTATTCTTATATAGATTCATAAACTATTCCTATTAGATATCAATAAATTTAACTTTATTAATGGTTTAAGAATTCAAAATATATTTAAAACTCCATATATAAATATTATTAGTTTTTAATTATATTTATATATTTTATTTTTGATTTGTATACATAAATATGACACTAATACTATTTATTAATATAATATTATACGTTAAAAATGGGGAATGTTTCAGCCTTTATAAACTATCACACAGAATTAACCTTTTCTACTGATTTGAATGATTAAATTCATTTTTGCGAATCAATATCTCATCAATCGTTAGGCAAAATACAAATTTGGAAAATTAAAGAAAATTCATCAATTAAACTATTTTCTTTTGTAAATCTAATCAATAAATCTAGACTAGACATGTTTATTGTTTTGATTCTACATTATTAAATATACATTAAAAAAGATGCTCTTTATAGCATTCTAATTTACTTTAGTATTATGCAAGTACATAAACATAACCTACATTTTGTGGAAGCTTAGAAAGTTAGAATTTTTTCTTTGAATATATTCCCTAAACTTTGTAAAAAGTTTTAGATAAAAGAGAATAGCCATTCCCAGAAATCGAAATTTGGAAGGTATAAAATTTTATTGTATAAAATTAAAGTATTTAGAACAAATGGTTGATGTTTTATCTTATTTGGAAGAAAATTAATGTTTTCATGGCAATATCAATTTAGAAAATATTTTTGTTACAGAAGACAATACAATAAAAATTTTAGATTAGTTAAATTAATAATTAACTGATTATTTATTAAAATCAGATGTTTATGATTTAGCTGAATCTATCATTGAGCTTATGACAAAAAACAGTATTTCAAAATGATTAACTTTTAGAATTTCATAAAGAATTTAAAGAAACCTTGAAATCCTTAACAGATTAATATTCTATATAATTATTATCTGTATTAGCTAAAATGTTAAATAAAAATCCAGATAAAAGACCTAATTTTAAAGAATTATCAGAATCTATTCAAAATAGAGCAACATAACCTATTATTCTGGAGAGCCAAAAATCAGAATCTCATTCATAAACATTTTAGGTGCTTCAAAATACTAATTAAACCTAAAAAATAAGAAAACAATTTGTGACTTCATCTCAAAACAATAATAAAAATCAATTAGATAGGACAATTAATTATTATCCATAAAAAATGTATTCTTAACTCAAAGTTCCTATACCTTAAGTTTAGTTCATCACAAAAAAATAGAGTTACTCAAATTAAGAATTTGAATAACTTAATTTTAATGATTCTCATTAACAAAGCATATAAGAAAAAATATCTAGTCCTAATAAGAAATGTAATATGAATGGTTCTTAAGCTTCTACTATAATTAGTAATTAAATTTCCTTTTTGGAGACTTTAAAAGGAAATGCAAATGTATCAGCAAAATAAATTAATTGCTAAAATAAAATCAATATTAAATAACATAATAGTTTAGTCCAAAATATTTTGATTTAAGATGACTTAAATAAGACCAGTTCTACTTTTACTGACTAAGCGAAATGAAATTTTATATTTGTTTTAAGTTAAAATCGTTCATATATATGATTCTATTAATTTAAAAAGATGAACTTATCTTTGTAATAACTTTATTTTTCTTTTTATTTTTTAAATCTGATTCTTATATAACTGCATTTTATTATTATTTTTTTTATAATTTTCTCAATAAATTATATAATTTTGAATTGTAAAATTGACCTATCAGAGATTCACTAATTTAGTCCCTTGGAACAATTTAAATCCACAAAAAATTCTATTAATAGATTATAAGTTTTATGATAGTTTAGTACTCAAATATAAAATATTTTAAATTAAAATTAATTAATATTCAAGTAATTTGTCTTAATTTTTGATTTCCTTAATTTCAAATAGTATTCATCTAAGATAATAGAAAATGATTAATCATATCCTTTTTATAATTAAAATATAAAATATTTATTTTTTTTGTTTTCACCTCATATTTAGTATTTTTTGCAAAATTTTCGATTAAACTACTTATATAAATTAAGTAATAATTATTTGATTGCAATATTTATAGAATTGAATATGATATAATAATTTCTTGATACAAATTTTAGAATAAAAGTACAGTTTTAGGGGTCATCTAATTTCATTCTGAATTAAAATGAATTTTTAACAAAATATAATAAAAAAAATCTTAATTAAATAAAATATATATCAAAAATTCATGCAATAATATCTAAAGGAAATATTTCATTTAAGATTAGCAGAGTTATTAGATCATTTATACTTTCATGACACAAAGTCTTCAATAAACATAATAATAGTAGCGATATTTTTGATACAAAAATTAAATCTCTTATTTTGGACATAAAATTTCAATAAAGAACATTCAGATGTATGAATAATATTATTTCTTAGGAGATTTACTTGAATATTAGTGGATAGCTTTTCTCTTGGATCACATTTTAAAAACCATTAGATATAATAGACTCAAACCAACTAAAAATTATTATAAGCATATTCTACACATTTTTGCATATTACAATGCTTGCAGTTTTCACTTTTTCCTTATATAATTGCCAAGTAATTTCAAAAATATTTACTCTCTACATTTCATACTTTTAATTAGTAATCTTATATCATACTGAAATACATTAACTGAATTACCAGTATGATTTAGTATTTACAATTATTATTAGTTTACCACCTTACATTAACTATTTAATAATTGTTTATTGTTCTCGTAACTACTTTATCATAACCTAATAACATATGCTAAGGAAATACTCATATTATAATTATTTAATTTTACTTGCCGATTTTTTTTATTTTATAACATTTTCTTTTATTAATTCAGATTATGTTTCCTAATACTCATTATTATTATTGTCTGTTGTATATTTTGTCGATGCAATTATTATGTAGCCATATTGTATAAAGTTCAATGTATATATTATTTTTTATATTAAAGCTATATTATATTGGAGCCACGGGAATATTTTTGATATCAGTTATCATTAGAATAGTTCTTTGGGACAAGACTTTATATACTTAATTTTATGGAATAGTTTTATTGGTTCCTCTTTTTTCTTATATCTTTACGTAAATTTATCAGATAATTTCTGATGATATATTTTAATAAAAACTATCTATATCTTTAATCCTTAATTTAGGTGAAATAATTAATCATTACAATTAAAATTCAATCTAAAAGGGTATTGGAGACTATATTATAAAAAGATTTTTAGATGTTTAATAATTGAATGCTTTTAATATATTTTAATTGTTGGAGCTATATATAAGAAATAATGATTAAAATGGTAATGATGAAGAGCTATAACTATATAGAATTCTTCTCAAGCATGAAATATAAGGAACTTATCTTTAAAGTCTTTTAGAAACAAAAAGAAATTTAATGAAAAATAAAAAACATTCAATATTTTTTAAGACTATTGGTTTTTTAATTAGTAAAAAATATGATCAATAAATTAAAAATTTATATTAAGGAGAATAAAAATCTTCTTAAAATTATCACTGCTTAATTATTAAAATTAAAGAAGCAGATAATCTATTTTAAAATAATATTAACTTATTTTTTAATTTAATTGAGTAGAAAATTTGGATATGGGATTAATTATAAAAAGGATATGATAATGTAGAAAATTGTGTTAAGGATATAAAATAATTATATTAGATTCTTATTAAATTAAAATCATAACTAGTTTCAATAATATCTAATGAAGAGATGGAATCAATCTTAAAATTATCAACTTTAAAAAGATTTAATTTTGTAGAATTGAGATTTTTATCACTTTTTTTTTCATTTATTGTAAATGATTATTAATAAACTAAGACAATTGAAAATCATATTGAAGATTTAATTAAATAAGAAAATATTTATTCAAATTCAATACTTTTGAATACAAAAATTATGGATAATGATCTTATCATAATTAGTTCAAGTATATTAGAATAAACAGGAAAAATTTTTAGAGCAAATACTGAAGAAATTAGTAGATTTTTTGGGTATGATGAGGCTATTAAAAAAAGAAATTTAGGAATAATTAATTTATTTATGCCAAAATTTATTAGTTAAGATCATGATAGATTTATTTAAAAATTTATAAATAAAGGGAATTCAAATTTATACAATAAAGGAAAGTAAGTTTTTTGTAAAGATTATGAAGGATTTGTTTTTCCAATTATTTTAAGTTTTTTACATATAAATGAAAAATCCGAAGATTTTATATTGACAAGTGCATTGTAAAAAGTTCAATCAAATTAGGATTATATACTTTTTGATTTAAATGGAAAAATTTTGGGAATTTCAAAATATGTTTATTAGATGTTAATGAATAATCAAAGTCTTACTAACAATAGTACAACATAATCTATGTCTTCATAAGTAGATTCATCTATATATGAATGTTACATATAATTTTGGATTCCAAATATCATTTCTCTAATTGAAAATTTAACACTTGATCATGAATAATATTAAATTAATAAAATAATCATTGAAGTAGCTATACAAACTAACTTTGTGCAGTATTTATCATTTTTTAAGTAATATTAATAAATTAATCCTAATTTTTGTATAGATATTTCCTATTTTGAAGAATTCTTAAAGTTTGTTGATGAAGAAATACCGAAAAATTAAAGTTTGAATATAAAGATATAATTTGAAATCCAAATATAATCACATTCTTTACCAACAGATCAATTATATTATATTTGCAGTATGTCAAAGTAATAAAAAGAAGTCTAATCTATGATTAGTTTTGATAAAACAATATCTACTTAGTAAATTCAAATTCCATTTAATTAAGCTTCTCCTAAATTTATAACAGAGATAGAAAAAATAAATGATGATTTATCATAAACTAGGAGAATGTTAGAAAAGTAGATATTATTAATTAAAGATGGATATCATGATAAAAGAGAAGAATTAATTTTTTCAAAAATTGAAAGTTAATAGGCTATGAATAAAGTAAATAATAGCTTTGAGAAAAAAAATATCATTCATGAATTTGATGATTAAAAAATTTCATAATCAAGTCGTTAATCAAGAAATTCTAACTTTTAAGTTTAATACTAAATAAGAGAGTTATAAAAAAATTAAGGATTTTGTATTTCAATAAAAAAAATTTGGATTATTACCTTATTCCTTTATATTATTATTTATTTGTTAGTCTTTTTAATGTTAATGGTTTTATCTTAACAATTATAATTATTATAATACGATATTGAATTGGTAAGAATTCCTGATAAATTCAATCGTTTATATTGTTCATTTGTTACTATTGGATAAATGGATTTAGAAAGATCATTATTAGGAAGAGACTATGGTTAATATCTTATTTATCGAATTGCACATCATGGAAAAAGTATAAGACATGAAATGGAACACATGATGATTACTTTAAAAAATAAATTCTCGATTTTAGAAAATGAACAAAGACTATCAAATTTAACTGTTAGATTTCTTAATCAATATAGTTATTTTGAAACTTAATTAACAATGATATAATTTGATATAATTGCTGATTCTTATACAGAATAAATTTATTAATACATAAATTAAGAAATAAATTATACCAAATCTAATCACTACTATATTATAGATGAATACTATAAACTTTAATTTATGAAAGCAAATCTAGCTAATCAAATATCTTCTTCGTAAAATTTAATTGATGAAATTATTGTTGAAATTTAAAATTCTCAAAAAACTACTATAATTATTCTCTATATTTTATTAGGTTTCTAGCTTTTTTTTTTAATAGGTGGTATTCTATTTTTAGTGCATTTGTGGAAATAACCTTTTGGAATAGTTTAATTATAAATTTAACTCTTAAGTTAACTATCTGATTCACAAATTAAAACAAGTATTCATGCTGCTAAATAAGCAAAATAAATTATTAATCATCCATATATATGGAAAAGAACTAACTATCTGAATGAATTTTATAATAAGGCTTTTTAGAGGGAAGGTTAAGATATTTTTAATAATATATAAAATAATAATTTAACCAATAAAAAGGCTAAATAGAATATAAGAATGATTGATTATAAATTTAATCACTTCAATATTTATCTCAAAAATTTACTATATGTGTTGCTACTATTAAGTTTTATATTATCTAGTTTTTTTTATATGAAAAATGGTTTAGATACCAGTAAATCAGAAATTTAATTAACACTTTAGTATGTTTAATTTAAATAAGATTTAGATTCTTTGATGATTGTAAGTTAATTATTAAAAACTAATTCAGTGCTATCTGAAAGAGTTAGAGAATTAGGCTTTTTAGATTAAAACTTTTAACTTTTAGATCCAAAAAAATATTTTAATATATTAGAAAAAGAATTATTATAAAAATTCTATCAAAAAGAGTAAAAGGCTTAAAATGTCAATCAAATAATTTTTCAAGATATAATTGATTCTAAAAAAATATCTAATACTGATAAAGAAATATTATAAACTTTATATTAAGATGATTTATGTTCTGTAATTGCCGATTAACTTCCGTTTTGTAACTTTAATGATAATTAATTTGATGATTTTCCAGATTATCCTACGCCTAGAAGGGTCGATAATAATAGAGAGATTTTTAGGAATGGAATTAATGGGATTTTTTAAAAGTAAATTAAATTTAATACATAGATTGATAGCCATTTTTAATTCCTATTATGAATTAGAATTATAAGGAAAAGAAAATAGAAATGAAACTGAAACCCAATATTTCTTACAAACTCCAGAATTTCAACACTATATTTTAGAGTACTTTTTTGACGTTAACAAGGCTGTTGTATAATTTTTTTCAACAATTCTAGAATCAACTATGAAAATACTGTAGACTGATTTTTAAAATTCTTTATTTTATTATTTAGTCTTTGGAATCTCAGTATTAATTGTTTAAGGAATTTTATAAATCTACAACTTATCTAAAATATAAGAATTAGTTTCAGCATGTAAATTTGCATTTATTCTAATGCCAACAGAATGTTTAAGTGAAATAAAATGCCTAGCAATAATTAAATAAATTGTAAAATCGTATGATCAATGATGAACTGCATATTGTGATTTATATTCTATTTATTATTTTGTTAAATGCTATTTAATTTATTGATATCCTGTTTTTTCTAAATATAATAATTATTTTCCTTGATAAGATCTTATTTAAAATTTTCAAGAAAATAAAATGATTTAAAAAGATATATTTATTAATTTAATATCAAAAACAGATTTGAGTAATTATATCAATTGTTTATTAATTCAAGTGCTTAAAGACTTAGAGGGGCTTGTTCAATTTTTATTTGATTTACGAATTAAAGCATTTTAGCTAGAGTAGCACCTAAAATACAATAACAGATTGCAAAACCATAGATCACTGCTATTTTTTGTATAGATAAAATAGTATTTTCAACTTTTAACTAACTCAAAACACAAATAACCCAAATTTCAAATAAATTAGTAAACATTGATAACATTCCAAATGATACCCCAAAAGTTCTTTAATTTTTTTTCACTCCTATTAATATAGTGCTTGAAATCTGATTTATAAATATAATATTTACAGATAAAATTGTTAGATTCTATTGCTACATTATTAAAGTTAGAATTAAAAGGAATATTTAAAGACCCATCATACTATGTTTACAGGCTATTTAAAGAGCACTTAGTATAAAATAAATTAAAGAGTTAGACGTTGCATCATTTAAATATTAAAGTGCATCAAAATTAGTTTTAATTTTCTTACCTACTCTTTCAGCAACGAAAATAGCTAAATTTTAAATTATTTTTACAAATGAATGCAGGAATTTCAAAAATTGCAAAACCAAATAAAATAGTTGTTGATGATTGTTATTCATGATAAATGTTGTTAAAGTAACCATAAAATTTAGTCAGCAATTATTTCTGCCAAATTTATATTATACTCATTACTGAACTAGCCGCAATAACAATTAGAATTATTTCAGTCTTGCATAAATCTTTAATCACTTACAAAAGATTGTTCTATTATCCCATTGGACTTTTTTCTAATTCTGGAATTTTTTTATAAATATCCAAACGAAATATTGGAAATGATCTATAAATACATAATGCTAAAGACAATAGTATTACGAAGGGAATGATTGATATAATTATTAAAACTTTCTTTTCATATTAAAGCCATTCTATTTTGTTGTTGAATGCTTAGATAAAAAATATCATACTGCACAATATTCGACCACCATAATCATATTAATAAAATCTCGTAATTTATCTAATTATTAATTATGGAATCATACAAAGGAATTTAGCTTTCAGTAAAATGTTTTGAAATCATAGTTAATATAATGACTATTTATAATTATTGCCCTAAAATTTGAAAACCAATAGCAAAGTATAAATAATCATCTATTTCTCTTAAAATGTTTGCTAAAAAATAAATGTAAGAAACTATTGTTAACCATTATCCTATAAATAAGATATTCAATGTAAATTAAACATGATCTATTATAAAACCACTTAATGCAGGACAAATAATCTTCAATATCGTCATTATTAAATAAAAAAATATCTAGTTAACTTCTTAATATAGACTAAGATTAATATAGTACTAGGCAATGAAGGTGTTCCAAAAATTCGAAAAGTAAATCATCTGAAATAAAAAGCGAATAGTTGATTGTTTAATCATTTGTAAATATGTAATTTTTAATATTAATTTATAAACATTATTTATAATTATTATCATAATTATCTTTAAATTAATATCATAATTATCTTTAAATTAATATTTTAGTTTAATTTAACAATTGAGGATTAGAAATATCTTTAATTAAATAGTATTTAATCATATAGGCCTGATAATTGATATTTTAAAGGAATTAATATAAGTATTATGGTTATTACTATAAAATGGCTTATATGGTTTTAGTTAATGTTAGATTAATATGAAAATCAAAATGAACTAAAATTAACAGATAACTTTTTTAGGCATTTATTAGCTACACACTAAATGTAAAAATTTGATCTAGTTTCATCATGTAAACAATTGTTCATCTAATTTCATGATAATGGATATTACATTTTGTGCTATTTGAGTGTTATCAAAATCTTTATTACATAATTGAATGACAGAAAAACATGATTCATCTTTATAACAATTTTGTAATTCTGATTTGCAATTTGATTTTATGCATTAAATTTAATTTAACTCTGAGATTCCAACCCTTTTTGAAGTTATTAATACTTAAATAATCAGAATAAGTAAAATTTGTTTCATAAAAATTAATTTAAATATCAATAAAAAAATAGAATAAATTTATAAAATTTGAGTATTGAATAAAAAATAAAGTTTATTTTTAATAAATCAATTCATCCAGAAAATAGAGTAGCACTTCTAATTTTATTACTTACCTTACAAACAGTTTCAAAATGAGTTAAAGTTTTTTTATGTTTAATATCTAAGTCTGTAATATCATTTTCTTTTTTAATAATATTACCTTCGCTTAATGTATCCTCATCTATTGCTTCTTGTTAAATTTCTTAAGTCTATTATATTTCTGTAAATAATGTAGCACCTAAATTATTTTCATATAAATGAAGGTGTTATGCAATTGGTCTTAAATCTTTTTTCTTTGATAAGAATTTTAAGAAAGGAATTAATCTTAAAAGACAATCATCGTCTTCTGAATCAAGATAAGAAGGTATAAGTAATCCATTTTCTAGGCATCTGTCAAAAGCATTTGGATTATTCTAATATTGATGTCAAGTTTACATCTATAAAAATAATATCTTCCATAGGTCTATCTAGTAAGGATAAATCTTTAAAGCAAACACCATTAATAAATTGACAACTTCCTCTTGCATAATAATCTGAAATCAAACTATCTTTATCAATATAAGCCAAAACCTTTTCACAATAAACCTCATAACCTGCAGTAAAAATAATTATTTCATAATCTCTACTAGCTTCTAATAAGAATTAATTTAAATATGGCCGAGTTCTCAAATAAATTTTATATTCTTATCCTTTATGAATTACTTTTAATAGGGCTTCATGTTAAAAATTATTATTCTCCTTAAACTCACAATGAACTAAGGTTTCATCTAAATCTAAAACAAGCACTTTCTTTTTAGTATGTATTTTAGGACTTTAAGCTGGAATGTAATTTTTAGAAAACTTGCCTTTGAAATGTTCATAACAATTTTTGAAAATAGCCATAATACTCATATAATAATATAATTAAGTATTAATAAAAGGCTTGTTATTATATTCATTTAAATTAGATATTAATTTTCTGAATAAAGCATCAAGCAAAATAAACTACATAATCATTACTCGGCAAAGCATTTTTCTTCTAATTTTTAAAAATATTCTGCTCTCTCTGCTGAATGAGATCGACTAACTCTATGACTTCTTATTTTTTTATTAGTTTGGTTTTTCTTTCCTAAAACCTCTTAATTTATCCTCTCTTTAATGTATTAATTATATTAAAGCACAATTTTATCATAGTTATAATTAGGAAAGTAAAGAGAGAAATAACACATTCTATCGACCTCAATTTCTTCTAAAAAATAAGGGAGCTATCGTTTTTCACTAATTTTCAAAGGATTTTCATCCTCTTCTTCTAAGCTATTTGTTCTAAAGATAAAATAATCTATTACTAATTAGGTTAGATATATAAATCATCTTCGCCTTCACGGTTATGATTGTATACAAATTTGATTTCATCGGCTACAATATTTGTTAATTAAGAATTAGCTCTTGAGTTGTATTTAATTCTTTTATGTTATCTAATAAATTATTTATTAAATATTTTTAAATGTTATTCTTAATTTTATTATTCTTCTTTAATTATTTCAAGTCTTTTTTCTTAATTTATAGAATAATGTAGTTTAGGACATTCATAAGCAAAATGTGATACATTTTCACAAGCAAAACAGCGTTATCCCAAAGGTGTGTAATCATTATTAATTTCAACAATATGTTTATTCATTAAATAAATCTGGTGTTAATTGTTATTGAGTTTTAATTTTTCAAAAAACTTCTTTTTATTTAAAATTTAAACATAAACAAAATTTAAAGTGTATGCTGAGGCACTTCTAGGTTTATCTGTGAAAAATCCTAATTCTCCAAAGGTAGCTCCGCCTTCAATTATTTTTAAGCAAGTAATTGTCTTTTAAATACAAATTAACACTTAGCCTTGATTTAAGAAATACAAATTTCTATCCTATATATTAATGCCATTTTCTTTTTCAATTGGATCAATTCCTTCTAAAAATATACATTCTTCTGGTCCATAGATTTATTCTTCCAAAAGATAAGGCAACTATGATAAAATTTCCTTTTCAAATTTACCAGAATTAAACAAAACTGATTATTTAATAAGAGTAGTATTAACATTCTATAAAACCTCATCTTTTAAAGTTGATGATAAAACTGATAAAGCATCTTTTTCATTGACTTATGAAGACTCAGTTTCATATTTATATTCTAAATATTTTCTTACTCTTGCTTACAAATCTTTAGGTATTTCATTAGATTTTAAAAATTGATTTGCCTGCCCAAGTTTTAATCTTATAGTTTTTTCATTTGTATCTAACTTAACAAAGATTCCTCCTATACTATTCATTATATATGCAAAAACACAACAAGCCAACAACATGACTATAATACCAAATAATTTCTCAACTGATGTGACTGGTACAATATCGCCATATCCAACTGTAGTCATAGTGGCAGTAGCCCAATAAACTGAAGCCACATATTTTATATACCATTATTATTCAGCAAGCTCTGTTGCTTATAACCAACTATAACCACTAGAACTATTTTCTTATTCTGCTATGAAATGCCAAATGCATGCTAACCAATGAGCTACAAATAACATTATAAAAGTCAATTTAAGCAATTAATATATTGTTATTACTGACCCACTTATATCTATGTAATCTTCTAATTTTGCAAAAAGCTACTTAAGTTTTAATACACGCAGAAGTCTTATTATTTTTATTAATCGAAAAAATTTCAATATTCTTAATAATTTCATTGTTTATACAAGTGAATCCTTTTAGGCTTAACTTTATTATTAATTTAGTTCATCTTCATCTACTTATACAACACCTGAAGTTGCTGCCTCAACTATTAAATCAAAAGGAAATGTAGATACTATGATTATATACATGAATACCTACATCAATCCAAAACCACCATTTTAAATAATTTTAAAAAATCAATGTACGATCATAAACGTATTAACCTTTGTGTTAAAAGGCTGTATTAAAATTTATGAATATATCTAATGTAAATACTGTTAAACTAAAAAGATTAAAGTCTTCTAAGAATTAAGATTCAATATTAAAAGAAATGTCTACTGGAAGTATTAAAATAGCAAAAAAGATTACAAACATTGTAAAAAGATCCCAAACTATTCTTATTCTATCTTCTTGAGTAAATACTTTTATGTAGGAACAACTTGGTTATTTTTCTTCTTATTCCTTTTTTTAAATCATAACACTCATTTTCCTAGATATTGATGCTCGCTTTGCTTTTTCTTTAAGTTTCGCAGCCTACACAAAAGATAAATCATTTATTATTTTTAGTTGTCTATCATCAAATAGTAAATTAATATCATCAATTTGCTCATCATTATCTATTTATTAAACAGTAAACAAATATTTTCTCTTAATTAACGATTGCTTATTATTCTCTGTTCTAATGCTAAATATTCTTTCATCTTCGACATTTGAATTGTCAAAATTTTTGCTTGTCCATCTAGGAGAACTTGAATGCATTTTATAATTTATAAAACGATTATAATAATATCATTTTTAAAAAACCCCTTTTTAGAATAAATTTTAAAGATCATGAAATCTTAAATGTTGAAACCATTTCTAATTATTATTAACTCTCCAATTATGAATTGAGGTTTATAATAATAATATTTTCTAACTAAAATATAATTATAGAAGTATATACAATATGTTAATAAGTTCTATTTTCATTTTTCCATTTAAATTATCTTAAGTAGTTTAATTAAGATATCGGAATCGTAAACAATCGGAATAATATGAATTATAAAGCATTTTTAAAAATTTTCTCTTTAATTATTAAATATCAAGAAAAATGTTTCAAACTTAAAATTTTCTTAATTAATATGAAATAGAGACTCAATAATCTTAACCTGATAATTAATTGATCCAATCAACTGATGATTTTGAACAAGTTATTAGCAGCCTTAGTAATTTGATGATGTACATTGCTTATGAGAATTAAACATAATTAAATGATGAAGACTCTTAAAATTAGTCGGAAATGTAAGTTAATAGAGCATTAAGTGATTTGGATTCTTAAAAAGAATATCCAAATGACTTTTCATTTAAAACCTATCATCCATCTATTTTTTTTGAAGGGCCTTCATATAATTTATATAAAAGCACATTATTAAATGGAATAGATAAGGAAGATCATAATGAAGAACTAATTTAAGAACAGTCTCAAAATGATGATGATATTGAATGTTAAGTTTATTTAAACCTAACTCAAATCAAAGCCCTAATGAAATCGTAATCTACAAGAAAAAAATAATTAAATAATTAGATCTTTTAGCAACAATAAGAACAAATATCAATAGAGAATTAAAGTAATTAAAAAAGATTTTCTATATCTGATTTAGATATTGAATAAGATGAATAAATAACAGATGATTATAGTTTAAATGTGGAGGATAAGATTTAGAGTTATAATTCTAATTTTATAATTTTAGAAAAATTCTCATCTTAATTTAAATCAAAAAGCTAGACCAAAACATCCTGAGCATACAATATTATTAAATAGATTAAAATGATTTGAAATTAATAAGAAATATTATTTTGCATGAAAAATAATAATCTAAAATTTTTAATTAATTACTTCCATCAATTTATTTTAACTATATCAGTCTTTGAAATGCTAAATGCACTCACTTCGGCATCAACTCAAAGTTAATCTAATCTTGATTAAGTTTTTGATGAGATTATTTATTTCCTATCTATTTTAATTTTTTTTAAATTTACAATAGTCGGGGATGTATCTTTATCATTAAAAATAGATCTTAGGATTTTTCAATTTATCTTCTTTTCATTCGGCATCAAATATATACTTTTTTAAAGTAATTTGTTTCATTTTCAAATGAGTATCTTTAAACTTGATTTTAATTATTGTTATTATTTTATCAAACTTTTTCTTGTTGTAATCATCCCTTTCTTTTTATAATTAAAAATCTAAGATACTAATTTTTTAATAATCGATCTGATTGTTAATGCTTTTTATGTTATTGTTATTGCAATGACTTTTAAGTATTGAAATATTCAATCTATTCAGTTTTTAATTTAACACTCGTTGTTCTTTTTATTTAATCTTTTAAAATTTTAGTTTTTTTAATGTATATTACTAAAATATTTATTGTAAACTCTCATATTACTTATTCTGAAACAACTATTACTGTATATCGTATTTTCCTTATATTTTATATTCATTTGTGCCAAAAATATTACCAGCTCTCTTTCGAAAAATAATGATGCCTTAATTTCTTTTACTTTATATCCTTCAAGTTCTCCCTTATATATTATATAAATACAATCTAAATTTTTATTTAAAATTAAATGATCTTTCCTTTTGTAAAATTAAATTTTTTAAATCATAAACATATTGTGTTGCTATTAATTTTTTAAAAATGGAAGAAAATGTTCATATAAAAATTAGAGCCTTTTATTTAATGAGCTGACTTATGCTGATTATAATGATATTACTTTGTTAAAAGAAGCATTTACTTAAGCTTATTCTACTAAGACAGCTACCATGACCATAGCTGATCTTGGCTATTCTAAAATCAGTCCAAGCTCTTTAAATGTTTCCTAGAATTTTTTAGGGATTAAATTTTATATAAATACACTTTATTCGAAGAAGTAATTGATATCACTAAATTAATGAAGGATGGAAATCAACTGTCTCATTAAGGTAATCTTTCTATTAATTTATTTATTTTAATTGTAAAATATAAGTAGTTGTTTGGTTTATAGACTTAAATGTCAATAGTTTATATCCTTTTTCAATAATTCCTATTGAGTGTTTTTCTTTATTATAGAGCGAGCATATAATACTGTATAAAATTTAAAGAAATTCTTCTTTAAGTATATATGAATTGTTCCATTCAAAATTATATAAAAATCATTTGCAGATTACCTGAATGGAATGAGTTTTATGAATATTCTCCTTAAAATAATTTCTTCAGGTTAAAACTACAAATATTTCATAGCCCGATAGCTTTAATTATGTAATTATTAAATTTGATTTTCTCGATATATATTAATCTCTTAGAAATATTTCAATGGTTTTGTTGCTCAAACTAAGTGCCAGATTTCATTTTCAGTTCTTACATCTTATCTTAAGATGTTTTTAGCTTCCAAACAGAAAAATAAATTATTACTCCTAAAAATGAATATTATTTCATTAATTATATAAATAATAAATATCTATTTTTTAATCCACAAGAATAAGAATGGATAAGTTTATAAAAGCTGAAGAAAGATTTCTAACAAAAATAGATGTTTAATATTTATTTTTGAAAGCTGAAGCATAATAAATATAATAATAATCTTATATTTATTTTATGTTTTAATCTGACTGAAATTTAATAACTTTAAGCTTTGTTAATTAAATTGGAAAATTTTTTGAGCTAATATTCTTCTCTCTTACATCATATATATGCGTATTTTTCTAATCTAAGACAATTTAACTATTATTGGAAAAATTCTAAATAAATTCGAAAGTTCATTATTCTCAATATATTATTAAATAAAATAATAGTATAAATTTTGGTATGGTTTATTGATTCTAAATTATGAAAAAAATTCATCAAATCTGAAAAAAAAAGGAATCTATTATTAAAATAAGAATGATAATAAGAAACTAAAATTATCCTTTAAAATAAGATTATAAGATTAATGAATGTAAATACTGAAAAGGTATTGTTCCTGCAGTTATCCGATTTATGAGAAATCATTGATTTGTAAGATTTAGGAACTCAAAATAAAGATTGAATGAAGTGATTTGGGTCAGATATGCAAATCAGAAAATAAAATAGGTGCTTTTTTTCAAAAAAATCAATTCTAATTATGTTTATCAATAATCATCTTTTTTTATCATATTCATCATCGGTTAAATATCACGATTTAAATCTTGGTTCTTGTTTTTTCAAAAAATGGAAGAGTAATTCAGAGAAAATTTTCTTTTATAGTTACTTGAGATTTATGTATTAAAGCTAGGATAGTAAAGAAGAGTTTTTCTTATTAGTAATTGAATTCATCGTAATTTTACTTTAGAAATTTAATAGTATTATTTATTAACAAAGTTTTAATAGATAAAAGTTATTTTTTAATTTGAAAACTTTTTAAATTTAATAAAATAAATTAGTAAAGATTGAATCAGTTATTTTTTAACTTAAGATAAATGAGTTAAAAGAAAAAAGATTGCTCGGAAAATTTATTTTAAATAATAATTTTTAAATAGTTAAAATATTTGATCTTCAATTATGAAAATCTGCTTAGATAAAATAATTATTTATAATATAAACTAAATATGCAATTATCATTTTGTAACTGATATTGAGTTTATATTAACTTGCTTTGACATTCTTAGATTATTCATTAATTCTAGTAAATTTAATCTTAATGGAGTTTCAAGACATTCCATTTCTGTCTTTGCATGCAATCTTTCATCATCAAAGTTAGGCTTATTAAAGAATGTCACTTAAACACCTTCAGGGACTTTAATTGATTTAACTTTAAAATTTTTCATATCATTTGGAATAACAGGATGAGCTCCACATAATTTTAATTCATCTCCAGTATAATGGCATTCTGAATATAAAATAACGCAAGGTTCCTTTTATAATCAATAAAGTTGTTACTTCCTATTCCGACTTAGAACTATCATTTTCGGGCTTTTTTGTTGATGAAACATCTCCTTCTGTTTTTCCATCAGTTCCCTCACTTTTACCCTCATCTGTTTTACCTTCATCTGTTCCATCTGTTTTACCTTCATCTGTTCCTTCAGTTTTAACTGCATCTGTTCCATCAGTTTTAACTGCGTCTGCTCCATCAGTTTTAACTGCATCTGTTCCATCAGTTTTACCCTCATCTGTTCCATCAGTTTTAACTGCATCTGTTCCATCAGTTTTCACCTCATCTGTTCCATCAGTTTTAACCTCATCTGTTCCATCAGTTTTAACTGCATCTGTTCCATCAGTTTTAACCTCATCTGTTCCATCAGTTTTAACNATTCTAATTATGTTTATCAATAATCATCTTTTTTTATCATATTCATCATCGGTTAAATATCACGATTTAAATCTTGGTTCTTGTTTTTTCAAAAAATGGAAGAGTAATTCAGAGAAAATTTTCTTTTATAGTTACTTGAGATTTATGTATTAAAGCTAGGATAGTAAAGAAGAGTTTTTCTTATTAGTAATTGAATTCATCGTAATTTTACTTTAGAAATTTAATAGTATTATTTATTAACAAAGTTTTAATAGATAAAAGTTATTTTTTAATTTGAAAACTTTTTAAATTTAATAAAATAAATTAGTAAAGATTGAATCAGTTATTTTTTAACTTAAGATAAATGAGTTAAAAGAAAAAAGATTGCTCGGAAAATTTATTTTAAATAATAATTTTTAAATAGTTAAAATATTTGATCTTCAATTATGAAAATCTGCTTAGATAAAATAATTATTTATAATATAAACTAAATATGCAATTATCATTTTGTAACTGATATTGAGTTTATATTAACTTGCTTTGACATTCTTAGATTATTCATTAATTCTAGTAAATTTAATCTTAATGGAGTTTCAAGACATTCCATTTCTGTCTTTGCATGCAATCTTTCATCATCAAAGTTAGGCTTATTAAAGAATGTCACTTAAACACCTTCAGGGACTTTAATTGATTTAACTTTAAAATTTTTCATATCATTTGGAATAACAGGATGAGCTCCACATAATTTTAATTCATCTCCAGTATAATGGCATTCTGAATATAAAATAACGCAAGGTTCCTTTTATAATCAATAAAGTTGTTACTTCCTATTCCGACTTAGAACTATCATTTTCGGGCTTTTTTGTTGATGAAACATCTCCTTCTGTTTTTCCATCAGTTCCCTCACTTTTACCCTCATCTGTTTTACCTTCATCTGTTCCATCTGTTTTACCTTCATCTGTTCCTTCAGTTTTAACTGCATCTGTTCCATCAGTTTTAACTGCGTCTGCTCCATCAGTTTTAACTGCATCTGTTCCATCAGTTTTACCCTCATCTGTTCCATCAGTTTTAACTGCATCTGTTCCATCAGTTTTCACCTCATCTGTTCCATCAGTTTTAACCTCATCTGTTCCATCAGTTTTAACTGCATCTGTTCCATCAGTTTTAACCTCATCTGTTCCATCAGTTTTAACTGCATCTGTTCCATCAGTTTTAACCTCATCTGTTCCATCAGTTTTAACTGCATCTGTTCCATCAGTTTTAACCTCATCTGTTCCATCAGTTTTAACTGCATCTGTTCCATCAGTTTTAACCTCATCTGTTCCATCAGTTTTAACTGCATCTGTTCCATCAGTTTTAACCTCATCTGTTCCATCAGTTTTAACTGCATCTGTTCCATCAGTTTTAACCTCATCTGTTCCATCAGTTTTAACTGCATCTGTTCCATCAGTTTTAACCTCATCTGTTCCATCAGTTTTAACTGCATCTGTTCCATCAGTTTTAACCTCATCTGTTCCATCAGTTTTAACTGCATCTGTTCCATCAGTTTTAACCTCATCTGTTCCATCAGTTTTAACTGCATCTGTTCCATCAGTTTTAACCTCATCTGTTCCATCAGTTTTAACTGCATCTGTTCCATCAGTTTTAACCTCATCTGTTCCATCAGTTTTAACTGCATCTGTTCCATCAGTTTTAACCTCATCTGTTCCATCAGTTTTAACTGCATCTGTTCCATCAGTTTTAACCTCATCTGTTCCATCAGTTTTAACTGCATCTGTTCCATCAGTTTTAACCTCATCTGTTCCATCAGTTTTAACTGCATCTGTTCCATCAGTTTTAACCTCATCTGTTCCATCAGTTTTAACTGCATCTGTTCCATCAGTTTTAACCTCATCTGTTCCATCAGTTTTAACTGCATCTGTTCCATCAGTTTTAACCTCATCTGTTCCATCAGTTTTAACTGCATCTGTTCCATCAGTTTTAACCTCATCTGTTCCATCAGTTTTAACTGCATCTGTTCCATCAGTCTTCACCTCATCTGTTCCATCAGTTTTAACTGCATCTGTTCCATCAGTCTTCACCTCATCTGTTCCATTAGTTTTACCCTCATCTGTTCCGTCAGGTTTTCCATCACCTTCTCCTTCTTCTTCTTGTATAGTTTCTTTAATACTCATTTCTTTAGCCTAAAACACCCTCTCTTATTTAGATTCTAAGCTTTTATTTAAATCTCTTTTGTTTTTTACTGTATCTAACTCTTCTCCAGCACAATTCTAATATTCTTCTGAAGGAGGCTCTGGCTCACTGTTTTCATCATCTTCTTCATTTTATTTTGGAGGTAGGCTTGATTTTCCACCAACTGTATGACTTTTTTAAGGTACAATTAATTCTTCTTCTTCTGACTCTTCGACTATTTCAACGTTTTCTTCAGGTACAACATCCTCAGTAGTTTAGATTTTGACGCTCTTAGGATCTTATTGAGATGGCAATTAGGTAGTTGAATCAACATCTACTTTATTTTTGACAGTATCATCTTCTTCTCCTCCTGGACAATCTTCTTCTGGTACCCCTTCATGATTTTCTTCTTCAACTTTCTAATCTTCATGCTATTCTTCGCTTTCTTTATCATTTTCTTCACCGTCTTCTTCTTCATTCTTTGTTTTTTCCAATTTTTCCAAGGGACCATTTGGTTCAACTTCTTCTTCTCCGTCATCAAATTCAATAGGATCTAGCTCCTTATCCTCTTTAACTGGTTCTGGCTCTTTATCTTCTTTAACTGGCTCTTCACCTTCTTTAATTTCTGTTTCTTTTTCAAGATCAATTACATTTTTGACAATGTAATTAAATAACTTTTCAATATCACCAACTTCTGAATTTTAACTGTAAAGAATATAAAATAGGAATTAGTTTTCAGATAAATTTGAAATGGATATTATTGACTTTCCATGCTCTTCATAGGACGAAATAATTTCATTATTTTTTTCCACGATTAATAATCTATTCATAGTTACTTAATTGTTAGAATTAATTAAACTGACTCCTTGATAATTTTCTTTTGTAAACATATCTATTCTTTCAACATTTTCATCGCTTATTTTCATCTAAATTTTCATCCACTCTTTGTCCTTTATTTAAGTTCCTAAAAAAACTAAATTTTAAGTTATTTCTGTGAAATATTCAGATTCAGGACCGAATGCATTTGTCTTCATAACTTAGCCACCTGTTAGTTCTATATGTTATTTATGGTTTGTAGAAAAAATCCAATTTTAATAGCTACTTTCAATATTGATATTTACTTTTTGCCTTAATCATTTTTCTACACTCCCAATAAAATATCGCTTGACATATCGGTTTCTTAGATAAACTTCTCTAGAGATTAGATGTTCTTTTGAACCCAATCATGAATCTTGGTGACATCCTTAGCGAAAATGCCTAGTGTTGAGAAAATCAACAACAGAACTCTAAATTTCATAATAAATTAAAATAAATTATTAAAAACGAATTTAAAATAAATCATTTTATAGAGAAAAAAGAATTAAATACAGAATAAAATATAGCAATTATTTTAGCTTTTTCAAAGATATACATCATGTAGTAAATAAAAGATAAAATATGCTAAAGATTATTAGTTTGTTTTTATTTTAATGTACTATTAATATTTTATGATCATCATTTTCCAACAAAACCCTTAAGATAAGTTTCTTTTTAAGCTCTTATGACCTCTCTCTTGTCTGTTTTTCTTGACATATAAATCTTTGTTTTTTCTGATCCTCTTGTCTTCTTTAACTTTGATTTGACTTCTTTCCAACCCTTTCTGCTTCCATCTCTTTTAGGAATGATTCCTCTTCTTCTTAATCTGAATTTTGGCTCAAATTTAAGTAAATACCTAAAATATTAAATTATTGCTTATACTATTAAGTGTCATAAATGAGAGCAAAGCCAGTAGTTCTGTTACCTCCAAATTATGTTCTGAGGCCATAGACTACAACATTTCTCTCATCAGCCTTATATTTGCTAGCCAATTCTTTAACAACTGATTCTTATGATGGGGTTGCCTTATTGGGATGGAGTAATTCAACACTCTTTTATTAAATAAATTAGCTTACTAATTATCTTCTATTCAAGAGTTTATTTAATAGAACTTTTCTTGTTTTCACGATGAATGTCATATGAACTTTATTTTAATTCAAAATAAATTAAATCTTTTTCTTTATTTTATGAAATGAAAAAGCATATAATTTATTCTTCAACAGATCGAAAAATATAATTAACTTATAAAAAAAGGAAGAAAAAATTTAGGCAAATATTATTTAGAATAAGAAAAGAGATTTGAATAAGAATACTTCCAATATTTAGTATGCATTTAATAAATTAACCAACTGATTTCTTTTGCTGATCAGTTTCTAAGAATAGAGACATATAAATTTTAATCATTTGATTGAATGTGAATCAAAAAATAACAATGCTACTATAACTCTGAATGATGGTGTCAATAAATAAGTTCTAAATTTGTCATTAAAATAAATTACCCAATTTATTTCCTTAAATCCATAAAATAGGTTTCAAAAAATAATAATATTAATATCATTATGGGAAGCAAACCAAATAAAAACACGAATTATTAAAATGACAAAGGTCATCTTCATCAAATGAATAATCTGACACGACCGAGATCCACTCCTATCTGTCCATATAATCCCTATTGTATTTATAGCATTTTATTTATAGCCTCTCGAACCTAATTTAATGTGACGATAAATAATGTTTTATTTTTAGTGGTTAATCCTCCAGAAGACAATGATACTATGACTATGGCTGAAAATTTTGATGAAGTCTGAAAAATTTGAAAAATATTATATATTATTTTGACAAGAATAATTGTTCATTTATTCTTATTCCAAATTGTATATCTTATTATATAAAATCAAATAATATGAACTTGATATACATAAAAGTAATAATTATTTATATGCTTTTTATAATCGAGGTAAATTATTGAGACTAAAATTAGGCTGTTTCTACACGAAGTAGTGGAAATAGCTTAAGCATTAACCCATGTAAATCAAGTAAACTAACGTCATTCTATATTGCTATATGGCCTTCTATTATAGATGTGAATTATTCAAAATAATATACGTATTATGTAACAAACTAGCTTCTATTCTACTAAATTAGAGTTTCATACTTGAAATTTAAATTAGGAAGTTTGTATAATAGTATTGTTTGAAAACGACAAATCTTGAATGATTTTAATTATGCTATCCAAAATTGATTAATAAATTTTCTATGGCTTGTTATCATAAAGGTGTAATATTATTATTCCATTAAGAAAATAAAAATTAAAAAAAGAACTTAGGTAGAATACACAACAAATATACATGTCCTAATTTTGTCAATTAAAAAAAAAAAAAGATTATTAATACTATATTATATAAATATTTGGGATAAAATAGATAAAATTCATGTAGATTTTAAGTTTAGAAGTTTAGAAGAAATGATCTGTAATGATTTTTGTGTGAAAAAATAAAAAAATAATAAAAATCAATTCTGAGATCACAAAAGAGGTTGAAGGACAAGAGAGATAAAAGAAAATAAAGATGGAAAGTATAGGAAGAAATTGAGAAATAAAGGTGTTGAATATTTAATGTGCATAACTTTATAATAAGCTATTAGAATTAAATTAATAAATGAGGGAAATCGTTCATATTCAAGGAGGACAATGTGGTAATCAAATTGGTGCAAAATTTTGGGAAGTCATTTCAAATGAGCACGGTATCGACTCAACAGGAATATATCATGGAGATTCTGATCTTCAATTGGATAGAATTAACGTTTACTATAACGAAGCAACAGGAGGAAGATATGTTCCAAGAGCTATTCTGATGGATTTGGAACCAGGTCCATAATAAAATATATGAATAATAGGAACAATAGATTCTGTGAGAGGTGGACCATTTGGACAATTGTTCAGACCTGATAACTTTGTTTTTGGACAAACTGGAGCTGGTAACAACTGGGCCAAGGGTTACTACACTTAAGGTGCAGAATTGATTGACTAAGTAATGGATGCAGTGAGATAAGAAGCTGAAGGATGCGATTGTTTATAAGGATTCTAAATCACTCATTCATTGGGTGGTGGTACAGGATCAGGAATGGGAACATTGTTGATCTCAAAGGTTAGAGAAGAATATCCAGACAGAATTATGGAAACATTCTCAGTTGTGCCATCACCAAAAGTTTCTGACACAGTTGTTGAGCCATATAATACAATACTTTCAATTGATAAATTAATTGAAAATTCAGATGAATGCATGATCATTGATAATGAAGCATTATATGATATTTGTTTCAGAACATTTAAATTGACTACACCAACCTATGGTGATTTGAATCATTTGGTCTCAACTGCTATGTCAGGAGTTACATGTTGTCTAAGATTTCCAGGTTAATTAAACTCTGATATGAGAAAAATGGCATTTAACTTGATTCCATTTCCAAGACTCCATTTCTTCATGATTGGTTTTGCTCCACTTACATCAAGAGGATCATAGTAATATAGAGATCTTTCAGTCCCTTAATTAGCATAATAAATTTTTGATCCCAGCAATATGATGTGTGCTGCTAATCCAAGACATGGAAGATATTTGACAGTCTCAGTTTTATTCAGAGGAAGAGGGAGCCACTCTTAAATTTACGAATATATACAAAATACTTCAAATATAAATTCCTCAAACTTTGTTGAATGGATCCCAAACAATGTCAAATTTTCTATTTGTGATATCCCACCAAAAGGACTGAAGATTGGAGCTTCATTACTAGGAAATTCTACTGCTATCCAAGAAATTTTCAAGAGAGTTGGTGAATAATTTATTGCGATGTTTAGAAAAAAGGCTTTTTTACATTGGTACACTGATGAAGGTATTCTAACATTTTAAAGTCATTTTAGGTATGGATTAAATGGAATTCACAGAAGCTGAAACTAACATGGAGGATTTAGTATCTGAATATTAATAATATCAAGATGTTATTGAGGAAGAAGAAGGAGAAAGTGAAGCTGAAGTATGATAACATTATTTTTCTTTATCAATTCACTAAATGTAGAAAAAAAATATAAAAAATCAATTATCTTTGAAAATCGGTTCATCTTCAAACACAAGTTTTATAGGAAAAAACGTTTTTTTACATTATGTATAAGAGAAAAAGTGATTTCAGAAGGAAGATATAACACAGGCAAATTAAAAGTCATAAAAAAATAAAATAAAATAAAATAAATATAATTTTGAATCATTAAAAATATAGAAAGAATTAAATTATATGAGCTTTTTTGTTGGGAATTTTTTCTCTAACAATAGAGAATTAATTTAGTGTCTAATTTAATATAACTTCATGTACATTGATCGCATCATCTCAATTTATTCATACAGAGGGTAAAATAGAATAAATCTCCATCTGTTTTTTTGGCTAAGTAGCTTCATGCTAAATAAATCAAACTTAATAATTTCCTGAGTTTGCTAAATTTCTTTAAAGAAGAGTTTTATTGATAACTTCTGCACTACCAATTAATAACAGGTATATCAATATTTGGAATTTCTAAGGAATTTTGGCACACATTATACGATTGTCTAGAGTGAGTTATGTTCACCCTTTACAAATTTGAATTATTGATAATTTTTATTGAAAAAGGTTTAAAATATTTGAGTTAAAATAAGCAGGTATAATAAAATCAAAATATTGAAAAGAGGGATAGAATAATAACTATTATCAAAAAGAATATGGACTTAAGGTTTATGGTGATAATACAAAATAAATTTCCTCCAACTCCCCTGCACATCAGAATACTTTTCTTATCTGTTTAAATTCTACTATCAATTACCAAACTTATTTCTTCTACTTCAAGATTAAATTTTCAATCTGCCATGAAGGAGCATTTCAAAAATTTAATTATATCATCCTTAAAATAAATAAAATGTATTCTATCTATATATATCTATATATCAAGCGTTTGGCTGGCTAGATCACAAAAAAATCTTATCTAATTTTAATTTTTAAAAACAGCAAAAAAAATAAAGTATTAGTTCAAATATTTGTTGAAATTTTAAGTATTAAGTATATAGTATAATTGATAGGAAAGAGAAATTGAGAGAATCTAATATAAATAAATAAAGTAATAGACCTTTCAGCCAAGTAATAGTTGTCAATTCCTTTAAATTACATCATAGTTTCATCCAAATAAAAAAAAGCTTTAATATAATTTCTTATTGTTTTTACCTAGCATTTCACTAATAGTAATAGGGGCTGAATATAATATTTGAAAAAATGAAGCAGAGTGAATATTTATAATAAATATGAATAACTAATTAATATTTTTGAAACACTTGAGCGAAAACAAAATTTTATAATTGATTCTAGATAAGAGAGGGAAAAATTCTTAATTTTTGAGTGATTGCTTTTGAAATAATGATAATTTTAATTTTTTAGACCTTTAAGATTAATTCAATATTTAAAGTAATCATATTTTTACTTATATTTAATAATTTTTTTCAAAAAATGTTCCTCTCATCATTAAAATTTTATGAAAACTTTTTTTTGGCTTTTGTTTTATAAAAAGTCAGAATAAATCAGATATTTTAATTTTCTTTTTAATATTATTCATTAACTGAAAATTCATGATTTCTACATATGATCTTCATTCCATTTTCCTACCTTCTAGACATTATCAAATTTTTCTGAATATAAGATTTAAGTTTAATTTAATTTATAGAATATGTTACTCACAAAAACTAACACTCAAAAAACCCATAAACCATTCTTCTAACCTTCTTCATTAAATAATCCATTACCACTAATAAAAATATATGTATATGTCTCGTTCTTTTCTTAATAATATTTATCTTATTAACCTCTAGATTTAATTTCCGTCTCCCATATTTTCTACCATTTTTATATTCTCCTTTATAGAAAACTTTACTATCTCTAGATTACAATAGTAAATAATTTACTCTTGAAATTCTCACTCACAACTTTCCATTTGTCCTCTTTTAATCCGTATTATGAAAATAAGCCACCCCTTCTATAATTAAAATAATGAATATTAAGTATTCTACATCTTTTTATAGTTATTTTTTCCCCAACCTTTATAGTTGAAATTTCATATTCCAACTTTTTGGCCAAATTAATAATTCCCAGAATTAAAAATTTTACAATCTCTGCTTTGTAATTCAAAGAAATACTTTTTGAAAAAATCGCTCAATACTATCCAGTGACCAATTTTTTAACAAAATTCATCCTAACATCCCGCTTTTATTAATTTGATTTTTTACATCCATTCATTTTTATAATTAATTCGAGCAATTTCTTATTAATGATTATTGTTAAAAATACTGAGAGAATTTGCTCGAAAGTTATAACCCATTATCTTTATTTATACCAATATTTATCATATTATCCTCCACCTCTAAAATTTAACAAATCATTATTATGTTATACATTCTATTAAATGTACTCCCTATAAAGTTAATTATTTAATTTATGTTCCAATTACCAATTTTGACACCATTAAGATATTCGTCTTACTAAATAATCTAATTATCACTAAATATTTCATAAACTAAAATATTCCTTGAAATTATCAATCAAATCTATCCATAATCCACATTTAAGAATCCTTATTATATAATTTTCTCCACCACTATTTATTAATAATTTATCAATTTTTTATGCAATTTTAATAAACGCCTTCAAAAATAACTTAATTATTAAGACTTCATTAATTAATGATTATTACTATCCAAAATTATAATTATAATCTATGCATTTTAAAAATTTTCATCATAAACTCGTTCTCCAATATAGCTAATTTTTAAAATATATATTTTTACATCCATTTATTATTGTCATAAAGATCCCATAAATCTTCATTTTTCCCATTTTATAGTAACCTTCAAAAATGAATTAATTTTCACTAAAAAGCTTATAAATGTAAAAATACTTATCAAATTAATCATAAATCTCAGTTCATCTTCCATCTTTTTGACCTTATTCAGTGAATATTCTTCCACCACTAAAATGATAATTATAATTATTTCAAGCATCCATTCAGGCTTTTTCTGGCATTCCTTTTTAAAACCAATATTCCATCTACCAAACCTTTTGCCTTTTATATATTCTCCATGATAAATGAATTAACTCTTACTATTTTAAAAATAATATGGATAAATACTCTTAAAATCTATCACTCAATTCAACCCAATGTCCAACATTGAAACCTTATCTATCAAATATTCCTCCACCACTTTGATTATTATATAAATATAGAAATACATCTTTTAATCCTTAAAAATAATTCTCATCTACCAACTCTCTCACCATATTAATTATATCCATCTCAAAAGAAAACTTTGCTATCCCTTATTATTGAATTCAAATTATTACTTTTAGAAAATAGCGCATAAATCCTACCATTAACCTTCCTTATAACCTTTATTATTATAATACCACCAGCACTACCATTTAAATTTCAATTTATATACAATTATTTATCACCTTTTATCTCTCTATATTTGATAATCAATCTTCCAATTTTTATACTGTTTAGATATTCACCTTCATAAAACACCTTATTACTTTTAAAATTAATATAAATTTATTTGATAACTAATTAAAATTTTAGTCCAAATCTTCCCATTTTCAATTTTTCCAACTTTATTCATTATAAAACCCCCCTCCACTATAAAGGATGATATGGACTTATTCATACATTAATTCAAATTCTTCATTATTTCCATTCTTAATAATTTACCATAGACCAATTTTTTTACCATTTCTATCTTACCCTTTAAAAAGGATTTAATTTTAACTATTTATTTTTGTATTATAAAAAATACCTCCAAAATAATCGCTTAAATCTACCCAATGGCCATATTTTAATCCTCAATCATCACATTAACTTATCTCCTGTTTTTATATCATCATAGTAATCTCCAACTTTATATTCTTAAGCATTTCCACACTAAAAGCCTAAATTACTCTGAAAAAGTTTTGAATAATTCTTTCTGTTTCCCAACTTTTTTCCATCCTGTGTATATTTTTAGCCTAATTTATTTCAATTACTATATCATCCTCCAAAATCTCATAATGCGGAGCCTTTCCAAATTGGAACCTATCTTCCAACCCTCTTAAAACCATTACTGTAAATCCCTAACTATTATAGATGATTGATTTATTCCAAATTAGTTATTATATCTGAACTACTTAGAATCTCAATAAATTTATTTCTATAAAGAGATATATCAAAAAATTATTACGTTTTTATTATTTACCCATCATCTTGCCTTTTACAATTTTATTGAAAACCCTCATATTATTAGTTTTTCACTACAAACTAAAACATCTAATCACACTCTTTTTTATATTCATCTAGGTAAATATCCATAATAAAAAAATTATTAATAAATATGAAAATAATTTTCCATTATTTAATAAAATAATTTTTCTTTATATAAAATATTTTTCTTCTTCCTATAATTCATCAATAATAAATCAAAAAAATTAAAAAATTAAATTAATTTTAATAAATTTTAAACTTGAGATTTTCTTTAAAGTATTTCCCAGATGGTGACTATATTTATTTTCAAAGTAGTTCTCATTTGACTTTTGTTTTAAAATTTTTTCAAAATTGAAAAATTCGCATATTTTTTTTTTACTTGAGAACAATTCTTATAAAAACTATAGATTAAGGTAAAAAATTAATCAAAACTAATATTGATATTGTTGTATGAACAGCCAAGTAAAAAGCAATTGTTGGAGTTGAAAATTTCAAAAAATTGAAGAAGCTGGTGGTAATGTAGGAATTCTTATCTGAGGTTTATCAAGAGATTATGATAGAAGAGAAAAAGTGTTAATTAATCCAGATTACTTACTTTTCAATATATCCTTGTATTGAATAAAATCAATACATTATAAAGTAAGAAGAAGGAGGTCTTAAAATATCGAACATTCCCCGCAGCAGTATATTTATAACTAATAGATGAATATATATATAAATATAGTACTAAATTAATAAAATATATTATTAACTGAATTTATTATTAATAATATAAATAATATGAGTAAATAAGTTTAGTTAACATTCAATATAAAAATTATGATTTGATAAAAATACTAAAAAATAGAAATAGGATATTAAAGATACTCAGAATGTTATCAGAATAGGATTTCTACTAATCTTTCACTTCTAAAAACTCAGCAGACTTAAAAATAATTCTCACCAAAACAAGAAAATAGATTAATTTTTCTAAAAATAACACTCTTCCTATTTAAGAAATATTCTTTATAATTTTATTTCATTTTAATTAAAATCTATCGATCTCAATAAAGTTAAAATTATTAGTTGTCAATTTAAATTATTTTTTCTTGATCTATAAATCAAATATTAATTTATTTAACAATTTTAATTTTATCTTAATGCAAAATTTGCATCAAAGATATATTGAAAGGAACATGATTCATATTCAAAATAAATAAAGCTGTTAGTATAAGAAGTAAATAAAATAATACATGGATCAATTAAATAATTTTATTAACACTTGTTTTAACTAGGTGATATTTAAGGGCTTCGTTAAGACATCTCTCATTCCAACTTCTAGGCATTTGTTGATATCCTCTGTCGAATTAAATGCAGTCAACCCTATAATTGGGATATCTGGTACAATCTTATCTCTTATAAGATCCATTAAAATTTTTGTAGTCGTCCATCCATCCATTATAGGCATTTAACAATCCATTAGAATAAAATGAAACAATTTACACGATTCAGAACATTTTTCAGTATTTTAAATTAATTCAACAGCCTGACATCCATTATATGCCTAAAAATTAAATGAAAATTACTATTAATAATCTAAACCCCATTTATCTTATGATGACTTATAGGGCTTTTTAATTAAAGAGATCATCATCTACAGATAATATTCTCGCACATTGACAAGAAAACTACAAATTTTCAAATTTTTCTTCCATTTCTATCTCCTATTCTTCTCTTTAAATTAGTCTTGAGATTAATGTATTTGGTCTTTTGCTTGAGGCTATATCTAATTCTGAAAGGCTAAAGGAAGATTTTTTTCTTCTTTTAATTTATTTTTCTTTTGAATCCTTATTATTTATAAAAATTGAAAATGGTTTGCTTATTATATTTAATTTAAGTAAATTATCCTGAATGTTTCCTCTTAAAGTGTCATCATCTTATAATAGATCGGTTTCTTGTTATACATATTAATTTAACAATCCAGTTGATTATTAAGGTCGAAAATAATTAGCTATTGAGGAGTGATGTCTAATTGGAATTTATTAAATTTTTTTATCGACCATTATATTATCAAATTTTGGATTATTAATTATTAATAAGCCTTGAATTCCCATACACAGATCTGGTACAGTAAAAGCAGTTCTTAAACTTTATCTTTTTATAGTACCACCTAATATTTGAGTATTAGAAGATTAACTTGTTCTAATTTTAAAGAAGACTTAAGTTCCTTCACCTTGACCACTAGAAGTTATTTTCAATTAAGTTTTATTTAAAGGAGCTAATTTGAATAAATTCATTTAACTGACAAGTAATCCTAAACCTTACCATTCATCATGACATGAAAAATCTCTATTTAAGTTAAAGGACTACAAGAATTCTTAAATTTTCTGTAATTAATCATTTTATATACCTGCACCTTAATCTTTTACACAAAATGATAAAGTATTTTCATAAAAAGAAATTTCTAAGGTGATCAATCCTCGCTCAGAAAATTTAATTGAATTCTAGATTATATTTACTAAAATCTACATAATTCTATCAAAATCTGAATATATTAGTGGAGGAACAGAATTTTTAACATTTATATGTAATCCAAGGTTTTTCATTTACAGAATTGGCCTAAATATATCATTTACTTCTTCAACAATATCTTCAAAGTTAAATTCTTCAAATTTATATTTGATTACTTGAGAATGAAATTAAGTAAAATCTATAATATCTCTAATTAAATATGCTTATAATTTTAGTGCATTAGAAGCAGGATAAATAAAATTATATTTATGATTTTCATTGATACTTTGATCATTAACAAGTCCATCAAGAAATAATTTAGCGCTATTTAGAGGTGTTCTTAATTCATGAGAAAAAGAATCAATTATTCTAACTTAAAATTTTTCTCTTGTTTCTAATTTTTATAAATAGCTTTGAAGTGATATGTCATCCATTATAATCAAATATTCTTAATCATTTTAACCACAAAATATCTTACACTAAATATTTCTTGTATATTCTTCCTCATGAAATGCTGCTTATTTAGTTTTTGATAATTAAGCTATAAGTTCTAAATTATTCTCTTTTGAATAAAATTAATCAAGATTTCCATTTTAAAGTTCTAATAATATTTCATTCAATGTATTTGGAAGCTTTTAATTACTAAGCATTTTATTGCAACTAAAAAATATTGGTACACTACTCTATTATATTGGGGATTGTTTTGGTAATTTTAAACTTGTCTCTTTAACCTATTTCCTTTTTCTTTTGATTTATAGTTTAAATTATAATTCATTCATTAAAAATTTAGGAATATCTTAAATACCATTAAACATTTAGAGGAGAGATTGATTTTAAAACATAATTTACAGATTATCTTTTTTTACAATCATGATGCCTACTGGAATATTTTATAATCGAATTAACCAAGAATTACTAATTGAATCTGATATTAAATTGATAAATTCTGAATTTCTCTGAGTGGGTTTAGTCATCTATTAAGGCAATTCCAATTCTTAATTTTATTCCATTAATGAACAATTTTTTAATTTTAACATCAAAATTGTACAATAAATAGTGACTATATATGAAATTATATTTTCTTAATGAATAATGAATAAGACAATAAATAAAATGTTATAAAGGAGATGTAGTATTAAGGATTTAGTTTTTGATTATTTCATAACCATTAACATTTCTTATGCTTTCAACAATATATAAGCGGTTCTAGTTAAATCTCTATCTAAAATACAACAAAATGATATGTGAACACTTAGTGTAATACTCATAAACCATCGAAAATATTTTTTTGAAATTACTTTTTTTTTTTGAATGATTAGTAAACTTGTTAGCAATATTATTCCGTTTATAATTAGTAATACAAGTGATAATATTAAACTAACATCTTATAAATATAAAAGCAGTCCAATAGTAACATTCATAATGTTTGTTGAATAGAACTAAATTAATTTCCAATTTAATTGCATTATATTTATAATAGTTTCAATGCATGATATTTATAATAATAAGTAAATTATTAATCTAAGTTCTAGAATATACAGGTAATAATAACATATTATTCCATTTCACATATTTGCATGGTGTTAAAATCTTGTTATATAAAATAAGATAAAATATCAAATCAAGAAGCTTTAATTTTCTAAAATATTTATATATATAATCATTTCTCAATGATAATATTTAAATATCTAAGTGAAGATGATTTGAAAATCTACAAATGCAGATGAGCATTTGTAGATTGTTTAATGACTTAAAACAAAGAAAAACAAGGCTCAATAATGAATTAAAATTTTGGAAAAAATAGATTAATCATAATATTATATTTATATATAATATTTGTGCTCATGAGAGCCATATATGTAATAATGCTCTCATTGATTTTGCATTCTTAAACCTGAGTTTCAATAACTATCTTTAAAATGTTTCGATATCTTATCTACTGCCTTAGCAGCTAATGGATGACAATTGTTCGGTAAATTCAGGCGATGCAAAAATAGATTTAAATGCTACAGACGTTCTTCTTAACATAAAACTTAAGCAAGCTAATATAAAATTTAATCTGGAAGAAGCATAATTTTATAGGTTTCCTCAATATTTAATAAAAGTTCTTTATTTTTAATATCTGGCATGAATTTTTGCATAAAATTTAAAGCTCTTTAATGGGCTTGTTTCTAGATATCACATTCTACCATAAGATATGCTAATATAAATTTTTAACTCTAACAAATTTATTTATTCTATTATGAAGTAAATTTTTATTGAGTATTCTAATTTGAGAAAGATGATTGTTGCAATTGTTAATCTTATGAATTATTAATATTATTTAAATTATTTATTTGATTATTAAGATTCTAAATTTTTTTTATATTACTTTTTTCTAATTTTTTCCCTTTTTTGTTTGATTTACCTATGGATCCTTGTCCAAGCACGTGAATGGCAATGCCCTTGCCAATTTAAGAATTGTTATTCTTGATGTTTGAAGAAATGAAATCTTCAAATCTTTATTTGACAATATGGGCATTCATTATAACTTAATTAGGATTGGATTAAGAGGATAAATCTGTAATTTTTTCTGAGGTTTAAGAAGGAATGATGGACTAAGTTTTAAATAACGATAATATACATTATCAGTACATATGGAAGACATGTCCCATTAATCTGATAGGTCTTCTTGTAAAGATAAATCACTATCTTAAAAATCTTAACTTCTTTCTTCTTCAAAGAATGATGCATTTGAATGTATTTCAGTTGAATTATGTGTAAGTTCAAATTCATGACTTAATTTTCTTAATTTCTAAATAGCTTTCTCAATTGTTGACATATTAGTTTGGATGATTATATTAATTATTTATTTAATAATGAAGACATCTGTGTTATAATGTTAATTAAGAATTTATATTGACATTAAAATAAATGGATTAAAATAACCTGCATACATTGTTTTTTATAGATCATATTCTTAAAAATGAGCAAGCACAAAAAATACAATAACTTGCTAAAGAATAAAGTGCATAAAATGCTCATATAAGAGATGTAGCTAAAGAACAGGCTGACCTATTTTTATCATAACTTCCATCTTCAAGTTATGGTGAAGAGAAAGTTAAAAGGTTATATTTTGATGGTTGTTTTGATTTAATGCATTCTGGTCATTTTAATGCACTTCGTTAAGCCAAAGAGTTATGTGAAACTTTGGTAGTTGGAGTAATTAAATCAGATGCAATAGCTAAAGCAAAAGGACCTCCAATTATGACTGATGAAGAAAGATTAGCATTAGCAAGTGCTTGTAAATGGGTAGATGAAGTAGTTGTTTAAGAAACATATGATCCAACTATAGAATAAATAGATAGACATTAATGTTCACATGTTGCACATGGAGATGATTTAGTCTAAACTGCTGATGGCAAAGATGCTTATCAACCATTTAAAGATGCTAAGAGAATGAAGTATATTTTTACATTCTATATTGTTGTAGAATCTTTAAAAGAACTGAAGGAATCAGCACAACTGATATTGTAGGAAGAATGTTATTAATGACGAAAGAAGTTATGTGGGAAGAAAAAGTAAATATGCATTCTATCATTTTAGAAAGTGTTTTAAAAGTAAACTATTGTTGAAGCATCTAATATTGATTCCTTAGAAATTGATCAAGCTTCCATTGAATAAACTTTAAACAATAAAATACTTAATACAACTAGAAGAATTATGTAATTTAGTAACAATAAAAAACCTAAATCTGGTGATAAAATTGTCTATATTGATGGATCATTTGATATTCTACATTAAGGTCATGTTGATGTTTTAAGAAAAGCTAAAGAAATGGGAGATTTCTTATATGTTGGGGTTTATGATAATGAAGTATATAAAAATTCTTAAATTCCTAGACTATTAATTAAATTAAAGGCAAAAATTATCCAATTTTAAATTTGTAAGAAAGAGTCTTAAATTTACTTGCTATTAAATATGTAGATGAAGTTATTATGGGTGTACCTTATAAAGTCAATGAATAATTAATCAAGAATTTTAAAATTGATTTAGTCGTTGAAGGAAGTTGCTCTTAAAAAACAATTGAAGATCCTTATGAATTACCAATTAAATTAGGCATCTATAAATAAATCAAAGCTGTCAATTAATAGACTGCTGATGAGCTAATTGAAAGAATAGTTAGCAATAGATTAAGGTTTTTAGAAAAGTATAATTCGAGGAAAAAAAAAGAAATCAATTTCTTCGAAAACCATGATTACAAGGTAGAAGAAATATGATATTAATATTTTTAAATCCACAAAAAAATATAAATATATGTCATAATGTACTTTATAATACTCAATATCAAACTTCCAAACGTTTTTCTGAGACATAGATTCCATCCAAGAATTATCTGATATCTTTATTTTTAACAGCACAAGCTTAATGAATTAGAGCACAAGTTAATGATACATTGTTAAGGTCATTACCAGCAAGGGTTAAGACATCTAATATATTAATAATTTAATCTACTCTTTTCTTCAGCTTCATTTCTAGTGATTATAACTCCTGGCAAACATTTTATTGTTCTAATGATTTTCTCTCCCAAGAAATTCTTTATTTCAATACCTGCACCTTTTTCTAATAAATTTATAATAATTGGAAAGTGAGCATATGCTAAAACCATCTTGAATTTATATCCTGAAGTTACACCTCTAATCATATTCTTTATTTAAGAAGCAACTGAATTCACTTAACATTTTTGCTTTCTATATGATTACCACATTCTAATGCTAACTCTAGATTTCTCCTTCTTTGTTTATTTATTCAATTTCTTTTAAACTTAGATATCTAATGATGCATGTTTGAAATTTCTGTTTAATATTCCTCTTGGTCCTGAAATCATTAATCAATATCAGTACCTTTAACTTCAACTTTCTTTGAGTTCACCTTAATTTCAATCTTCTCAGGGATTTCTACATGCTCTTCTGTCAGAATATATTTCATATCTTTTAATTAAAAAAATTTTAATAAATATATATATTCATTATAAAAGTGATATACATACTCAACTTGATTCTCTATATTATTTTGATTTGAATTGCATATACAATCCATATATCCTTTTTATTTTAACTTCTACTATAAATATTATTCATAAAGTTCTACAAAATCTATTTTAAATTCTTATTTCATCTTTTAAACTGAATATAAGTAATCGTTAGAAAAGTATAAATAGTTTTTCTAAGATTTCTCATTTATTAATTGTTCATGTATTAATATTCTAATTAGACTAAAGTTGATTGCCAAATTATATTTATTTTTGAAACTCTAATTTCAGTATTATCAATTCGAATACTGTTGTCATCAATTTTTAATTTCAAATCAGAAATCCCTTCATTACTGTATGATATTTATAGCTATTCAAATAACTAGATTAATCTATCTTCTTATGATTGTACATCATAGCCTTCTTCTGTATAACTATAAACTTTCTTTTTCTTCTTGAGTTATTCGTTCTTCTTTGGTGACTAACAATATCTATGAAATAGGTTTTAAATTAGCAGCAACTCTAACTTCATTTACAAGTTTAATCATTAAAAACAATGGCAATTTTTTTAGCTTCTTGCTAAAAGATCATTATCTGTGATTTGTAAATGCTTCAACCTTTAAATTAATGGAGGATTATATAAAAAGGTATTTTCTATGTTGTAACTGTGATTAGATAGCAAACTAAGCATTTGTACAATACAACAGTGTTTTAATTAAATACATTTAATATGAAATACTTCTTAGTGTTTGTTCTTTTGTTCAATTTGAATCAGTGTATTAGCTTCTATGCAAAAGAAGGAGTTGAAAAGTGCTTCTCAGATGAGGTACCTAGTCAAACAGTAAATATTCTATATTCATATTTAGATTGTTGTAATATATCATGAATTAATGTCAGAAGGTGTGGCTAAAAATGAAAAAAGAGGTATTAATTTATATATATTTAGATATGTAAAAAATGATAAAGGATGGAATCACTTTAAATGTTTATGGACCAGATGGCAATATAGTAAAAACTACAAAAACAGTGGAAGGAAAGAATAAATTATCATTCACGGCAAAAACAAGTAATTATAATAGTAATGATATAAAGTGGGAAGATATAAATTCTGTGTAATAAAAGCCAAATAATTTTGGAGTGTTAATGAATATAAATATTCCTTAAAAATACAACAAGGTGTAGATCACAATCTTTAAGATGCTGCAAATAAGACTCATGTTGAATCAATAAAAGGTATAATCTATATAGATTAATTATAAAGATAGAATTTCTGCTTTAAAAAATAGAACTGATGATTTCATTTCTCTTTAATAATTGAATCGAGAATAAGAAGATAAATTAACAACTCAATCAATTGATATAAGCAGAAGAGTCACTCAAACAACAATTTTATAAATAGTTGTTCTTCTTGCATCTGGAGTATATTAGATTTGGAGTCTCAAGAAGTTCTTTAAATAGAGATTCTTGATGTGATGTTTATTATATTAAAAAATTCAATGCTTTTAAATAAAGGACTTTATAAACATTAATATTGTCTATCCCTTCATTCAAATCCAGATCCTGTAAAGATCACATTTCATTTTTAAGAATCACAACCTATTTGTCCACTTATTAAGATGCCTACATAAAAAGTTGAGTGGTTATAAGCTAAATTTCCATCAATCAAAAGTAGGTATTAAAATACAGAATCTTAAACAGAAAGACCTAAAATTAATTAAAAAAAATGTCATTCAAGATTACCTTCTTAGGTTAGATCAACTCCAACATCACCCTTTACTATCATAATGAGAACTAATAATCCATCATCTAATAATGAATTTGATAATTCAATTACTAAAACAATACGTTATGAATAGTTCTAAAATAAATAATATTTAGTAAATAAATATTTAGCTCCAAGAAAATTAGGATTACATAGAGGAATCAATCTAGTTAATTTTGGTATTGACAAATGACACATTTCATAACTTATTATATTAATAACTATCACATTCATTTTATTTATTATATCCTATTCATTCTCTACAATCTCTTTTAAATTAATCATGTATTATTTATCTTAAAATCAGTTATCTTAGTAAAATTTTAATTTCATTATATTAAACTATTCTTTATTTAAAAATATTCAATCACTTATTAGAGACTATAATAATTTCAAATATTTCAATAAATTTCTTTTTCTTTTTTTCTATGTTTTTCGTTAATCTAAAGGGAGCTTAATTTACATGTGTTAATTTTTAAAATTATTATATTTATATCAGATTTATGTGTATTTTACTACTATTATTGATCATCATTTTGTAAGCATGTGAAATCAGAATCAATTAAATGAACATATATCCTACAGAAGAAGAGAATTATATACTTCCAATGGATGTTTTATTCAGTGGAAAAAACTTGTCCTATTTTTGTTAGAACTGCCCTCCTAATGTTTTAGTCTATAACACTTTTGAAACTATTCTTTCCAAGTCTAACTATGGTATTTATTATTTATTTATTAAGGTTTTACTTCAAAGTCAATCTAATTTAATCAAACACATTTTGCTTCTTTAACAGAGGAATCAACACTTAATATTTATAATAGTAATTTAAATCTGTAATCATCACTTAAATTAGAAGATAATTGCACATTTTACAATGCGATTTTTACTGTTAATAATAAAATTTTACTCGACTGCTATAGTCAGAATATATTATAATTTCTTTTTTAAAATTAAAATAATTAGTTGATTTTAATTCAGAATATTGAATCTCATTCACCTATTACTACCAAAATGAGATCCATTTTTGTTTAAAGATAAGAAGCATTATTATATGCATAATTCTATTGGAATTATTCATCTTTAACCTTATATATATGGGATGAAACCTATTATAAAAATATTAGTAGTTGGAAACATCAGATTGTAGATTTTGATATTTCAGATAAAGGATTTATTTATATATTAGTACCTAATTTAGGAATTTATTAAGTAGTGATAGATAAAGAATTTTAATTCAATATTTTAACAATACATCATTCAATTCAAAATCTACTTTCTATAACTGTTGGAACCAGTATTAATTTAAACTCATAATGGGATACATTAATAATTACAAATTATGATTATTATTCTTCTGTTTAAAAATTTATTGCATGGGAAAATTCTATTAGTTTTTTAGGCAATTTTATCTTATCTTATTTTGACTTTAATCTTAATTCTATCTTACAAGTATAAATTAGTTAGTATTTTTTAATCATTTAACAAGATAATTACTTTACTGTCAATTCAGCTGACATCATATATTAATCTCAAGATCGTAATTTCGAATTATTCAGATTTTCTAGAGATAGGAATAATATAACATAAATTTATTCGTATTTAGATCCAAATACCAACCGTTTTTATGAATTCAGCAATCAATTAACTATTTCAACTCTACAAAATCCTTAACTCAGAGGAACATTTGATTCTTTTATTTCTTTTGGTACATTTACAATTTCAGCATTTGAAATTTAATTACCATTTTTTTATCCATTTTGTAAGATTTAAATTGTATATAAACTTTTGTCAAAAAATGATAGTAATATTTATTAGGTATATAATTAGAAATTTCCTAAAGTCATTATGTAAAATTCAATTGTTTAATATGCTATAGATAGTTATTCAGGCCCTCTTTAAAAAATAATTGCTAATCTATCTGATCCTAAATTAGGTGAGTTTGTTGACTAGACTTTTTAATTATTAAATATTTAAATTGATTAATAATTTGATTTAGTCAAATTATTTTACAATAATTAACTTTCTAGAGAAGGTATGATTTTAGTAGGAACTCAAAAAATGAATTTGTATTTTTATATTTGTTAGAACAATTATACCTGTATGCAGATCTACAATAATACATTCAATGAAAAAATTCATTCCATAGAAATTTCATTTTATTTTTTGACTAATTTTACTGTTGCTATTGATTAAGGTAATTTTGGATTAGTAATAATCTAAGCTAATTATAGTGGGTCAATATTTAATCAAAATGTTGTTTTTACAGAATCGATTGTTTGTTGTTAACCTTTTAGATAATTTTTATTAACATACTAAAATTTAGTAATTCTTACTCCAGAGAACAGAATTCTTATAACTTCATTTAAGTAAGATTTGATGTTCACTTTAGATGAAGAAATAGTGAATCAACTTTTCTTCAATTTAATTCAAAAACGATTTTAGTTTCATCCCTAATAAATTACATCTAATTAGTAAAATTAAGCTACAACTATTTATATTAATAATAGAGATTGTTTTCTCATTATCGATATATTATATAACAATACCATTCTTCCTATTAGTATAACTTTTGTTGATCAAGAGATTTATTCATTAAATCTCGTGAATGAATAATTAATAGTTTCAAATTTAGTAGAAGATAATATTTTAGAATTCAATGTATATAAAATTTACAATATTTTTCATCCTGAATTTTAGAAGTAATTACCACCTACATAAATTAAGAAAGGCACTCCAATTTATTCTGATGATGCTCATCTATATGTACATTCAAGTGAGGATGACATGTTAGTTTATAGTCCTGCTTTACCTTATCATAGTTCACTTTACTATAGATTCAAATTTGAAGGCAATTATTTTAGTTGTATCGATATTAATTACACATCTTTTGTTACTTTTTCAAATACATATCATTTATTACACATAGAATTTACTTAATAATTTATTAGTAATAACGTTATCAATCCAACTTATATCTCATAATTAGATTAAATATTTTTTGTGAGTTCTGAATTAAATTAATAATCTAAAATGTTCTATGAAGATACTTTATACATTATAAATCCATTAACTTATATTGAAATAGATGAAAAGAATTTAACATATGATTTTCAAAAGGGTGATAGATTTAGAATTGATTTGGATAATCTATTTAATTTTTAAATTCTCTAATATCAATTATAATTAGATTTAGAAGATTTCAAAGAAGCAAGCATTTAATGTACATTAAATTAATACTTCCAAGGATAATCGAATTAAAGTTTTCCAAATTTCACAATCTTAATAAACATGAATGATTAATTCTATCTTTAAAATAACTCCTCTATTATAGGATTATCTTCAGGTTAATAAGTATTGTATCCATATTATTATTCTAAATGTTTAGCCTCTGCATCATATTAGAATTATATTTACTCTATTTGTCTTAGTAATACAATAACATTTCTAATGAAATTTGAAGTCTAAGAAAATAATAATATTACTCAACTTTTTCCATATGTTGAGCTGCCTTTATCATGTTAAATAATTAAAAAAATGATCTAATTTTAAAATTTGAGTTTTGTGCTTGGACAGAATATAATTTCAAGTGAATTTGAGTACATTTACATTTACAATCTATATAGTTTAAATAATATATCAGTATAGAATATATCATGTAAGAAAGGAATTCAAGATTTCTCTATTTAATATCTATATAATCATACTTAAAATTCACAAATAATTGCAGTATTTTTTATTTGTGATAATTAATTATATTATAAGTTAGGATATCTAAATTTAAGCAATAATACTTTTGGGTTAGACAGGGATTATCATAATGTTATTTTCAACAATAAAAAACTATTATTATTAAAATAAACGGCTTTGTTATAAATAATTCCTTTAGCAATAAAGTTTAATGAAATTTTATTAGTTTTAACAACAACAAATGCTACTAATTTCATATTCACAATGACTTTCAGTAGAGAATTATATGTTAAGAATTAATTGCAATTATAGGACATAGTTTAATCAATACCTCCATATGGGAATTATACGCAATAGTATTTTGGGATTGCAAATAAGGGAATACTCATATTGTTATTTACTTCTATGAATGAACGTATTTTAGCTGTCTATAATTATACTATGATATAAACCAATATTAGAAAACCATTAATGATGATGGGAGGACTTAATTAATCACTTCCGAATCCTTAAGGAGTAGGAATTTCTATTGTTTCAAATCATTTAGGAGGTTAAATTATAGATTTGACCAATGGAATTGTAAATACATACAATATAAGTAATTCTAATTATATATTCTGTTAATCTAATTATGTTACTCATACTGATTAAAAATATATATTAAGTCTTTCGAATTCTTTTAGTTCAGATTAAATAAGATTGATTTTCCAATATAAAAAAGAAGGGACAACTTATTGGATTTATATTCTTTTAACAATGGTTATAATAAGTTTGTTAAGCTTATTTTATGTGTATAGATAAAAGATGAAGGAAAAATAAAATGATATAGGAGAATAATCTGATGAGTTTGAGCTTTGAATTAATTTGTATTTTATTGTAATTTATAAATTATAAAAATCAAGATATATTTTATAATATTTACAATTAGAATAGAATTCATATAGGTTTATTTTGCATTATAAACTAGTTTGCAAAATATAAATATTTTAAATGATACTAAAGAAACATTTTGTTTTAGATGTATGATAAAATAGAAAATTAAATTGTTTAATCATATATAAAATAAGTCAATTTAATAAGTAGTAAAAAGAGAATTAGAAAAAGAGAGGAGCATTAAATAGAATGGATAGAAAATTAAAGAAAGAAGACATTAAATTAGGTATATAAATATATGTAACATATTAATTCATAGATAGAGAAATGAAAAGAAAAGAAGAGAAATATAAGAATTGATTGATTTGATATATATATAAATAATATTAACATTATAATTTAATGGGATCTTGTAAAAGTTGCGAACCTCCTTAAGAAGATAAGATTTTACATGGATAGGTTAATGATTCAAGAAGGCCAAAGAGTGCTGAGATTATAGCTCCATTAACAGGAGAAACAGAAGTTAGTAGAGATAAAAGAGGAACATTTACTTATGAAAATGGAGCAACATATACTGGAGAATGGTACTACATTATTTAATATTTTGTTTTGGATTGGTATATGTCGTGATGGTTATGGTACTTAAGTTTGGCCAGATGGTGCTTAGTATGAAGGATAATGGAAAGATGATAAAGCTTAAGGAAAAGGTATCTTTAAACATGCTGATGGGGATATATGTAAAATTATTAATCTAATATTTAGATGATGGAGAATGGGAAAATGATAAAGCTAATGGATATGGTACTTATATTCATTCGGATGGTTCTAAATACGAAGGGTTCTGGAAAGATGATAAATAACATGGATTTGGAACTGAAACTTGGACAGATGGAAGTAAATATGAGGGAACCTATAAATATGGAATGAAAAATGGATCTGGAACCTATTATTGGCCAGATGGAAAAAATTATTAGGGTTAATGGTTGTAAAATAAAATGACAGGATATGGTGTATGTAATTGGAAAGATGGAAAAACTTATATAGGTGAATGGTTAGATAATAATATGCATGGTCATGGTAAATATACTACTTCAGATGGCAAATCATATGAAGGAGACTATTATTTTGATAAAAAACATGGTTTTGGTACTTTTACATGGCCTGATGGTAAAAAGTATTCTTTTATTTTTATTATTTAGGTATTCTGGAAATTGGAAAAAGGGCAAGTAACATGGTAAAGGTAAAATTATAGTAGATAAAATTGAGAAGCATGGAATGTGGGAAGATGGTAAACGTATTAGATGGATTGAAGATGAAGATTGATTCTTTTTTTTATTTCTTGTAATTAATCTTTTTTTTCTATTAATTTTATTTATTTTATTCATTCTAATTTTTATTTATAAATTATTTTTTACTTCTTATTTTCCTTCCTTATCACAACTCCTTTACTCTAATTTATCTAATTTACATTTTCACATATCTCATAATTTACATTCACATCAAATTCTTAGTACTTATTTAAAAATACATATTCCTATCAATAAATTATATTATAAAATTTATAATTGAAATTCTTATTTTGTTTATTTCAAAATACTTTAATAACTAAATATTAATCATAACACTTTATGTAATCATATAGAACTTTTTTACTTTCAAATCAAAATATATATAATCTATATATTATTGATAATTTTCTTTATTATAACTATTTATTCATTAAAATTTTTTCATATTAATTAGATATTCATTAATTTTATAATTTCCATCAATTTATCTCCGTAGATTTATATTTAATAAATAATCATGTCTAATTCTATATCTAAACAAAAAATTCTTCAATTTTATATTGTAAAATCCTAACACTTTCTGCTGTTCTATCAAATTCACTAAAATAAAAAAAACAAACTCTTAACAATAAAAATATTGAAGATTTTTTTCTTTAAAGGTTTATCATTTTACAGTTAATCTATATTTACAAGTTTAAAATATTTTTAACTAATTAAACAACACATTAAGAACCAGATTTAATTTTTCATCTTGTCTTATAATAAATAGGAAATGGGGAGTTTTTAGGATTCTTTGATTTATTACATATATGATTAATTCTTTTTTTTATTTAGTTAATATAATAAAAATTATATATATAATTATATATATAAAATGTCTAACCACCGCAATTTGAAGGATTTATTTCCCTCAAAATTGAATTACATGAAACCAAAAATTGTATATAGTGTATTTATATTGTTAGGAACAACAAAGTGAAACAACAAAATAAACTCATAAATCGCCATTAGGTTTAAGTTAATTTACAAGTTTTTTTTAATTAGCTCAATTAACCTAAAAAAATAAAAACAAATAATCTGAATAGAGGAGTGTTACACCTTAAAAAATAAAAATAGTTTAATTAAATATATAAAAACAGGATCAATCATAAATATAAATTTAATCTAAGCATTTACGAAATTAAAGTGCTTCAAATATAAATAGCAGTAGAAGTAGTTCATTTTTTAAAGAAAAATAGGATTACTTATTTTAAAATACAAGTTCTCGGAGTCCAATTTAAACATTTTTAAAATAGGAATTAAAATCATCAAAATTATTAATGAATTCTTAATTGAATCATTAATAAGCTTCAAATATTGATTTATAAAGTAAATCAAAAGATTAATCACCAATGAAACCAGCATTTTTCGATAATTTAGATATAATAAATAGGAATACTGGAAGAAATAATTCCCAATCTCCAAATACATCAATATAAAAAATATCTCCATTTATTAATTTAAAATAATCAAGCAGTCATAATATTAAATATCCAGAAAATCAATTTAAATAATAAAATAGTTTGGTAAAAGAAAATAAGCCAGCTGAAAAGCCATATTAATTAATAAATCATGAGATTCCACATATATAGATAAAAAAGTAAGAATTTTAAGTTTCGAGTTAATTTAAATAAAGCAAAGGGTTTGAAAATTTGTTTAACTCTATGTTAAATATATAACATATATCTCATATTTCTAGAAATGAAAATTCAAAGAGTATTTTAAGATAATAAGAAAAGCATTAATCAAGTGATGAAGAGGAAACTTTGATAGTTGATTGTAATATCTAAATAAACAAGTATAGTTTTTAATTTCATTATGTAATTGGTAAGGGAGGTTTTGGAAAGGTATGGAAAGTGGAGATGAAAAAGAGTAAATAGTATTATGCAATGAAAGAGATGTCAAAAGCAAAGATAATAGCTAAAAGAAGTGTAAATTCTGTAATGAATGAACGAAATCTTTTGGCATAATTTAAACATCCATTTTTGATAAATATGAATTATTGTTTTTAAGATAGAGAGAATTTATTTTTAGTAATGGATTTATTAACAGGAGGAGATCTTAGATATCATATTGGTAAGATGAGAAGATTTAAAGAACATTAAACAAAGTTTTTTATAGCTTGTGTTATTCTTGCATTAGAATTTTTACATAATAATAATATTATTCATAGAGATTTAAAACCAGAGAATTTAGTTTTAGATAAATAAGGATATGCAAGATTGACAGATTTAGGAATTGCAAGAATTTGGAAATAAGAGAATTCTTAAGATACAAGTGGTACACCAGGTTATATGGGTAATATATAATATTAAATGAATAAGCACCTGAAGTAATGTGTAGATAAAATCATACAATAGCAGTTGATTATTTTGCATTAGGAATAATGGGTTATGAATTTATGTTAGGAAGAAGACCTTATAATGGAAGATCAAGATAAGAAATTCGTGATTAAATTTTAACAAGATAAGTATAAATAAAGAAATCTGAAATTCCTGATGATTGGTCAGTAGAAGCAGCAGATTTTATAAATAAACTTATTTAAAGAAAACCTGCAAATAGATTAGGATTTAAAGGACCTGAGGAAGTTAAAAATCATCCTTGGCTTAGAAATTTTCCTTGGTAAAAACTTTTGAATAAAGAAATAGAATCACCATACATTCCAAAAGTAATTTATTATAATTAAGAAAGTAAATTGATGACAATGCAGAGTATCTAAATTAAATTAGTGAAGATAATGATAGTTAAGACGAATTAATTAAAGAAAATAAGTTATTACTAAAAAAGAATTCTGTTCAAAATTTATTTAGTGGTTATAGTTATGAATATAACTCAAAATACACAAAGAGTACATCTAGTACACTTTTTCTAGGATGACTTTATTATTTTATATTTTAATATAGTAAACTAAACATATGTATAGAAGAATTTCAAATATAGACAAGATAAAATAATAAATGAGATTGAATCAACAAGTTAAGGAACTCTTATAGAAAGGAGAGATTGATATTGAAAATCCATTTCACTTTGAAGTAATGCATCATAAAATTTAGATCATTATTGCTATCTTAAATAAAGATGAAAATTAAAGAAATTCAAATGATTTAAATGTGCTAGCTTCAGCCCTTTAAACTATTAAATATTTTCATGAAATGAAGAAGACAACAAGTTTAGATGAAATGCTTAATTTATACAAAGAGTTACAATATATAAATTTACCAGCTCGTAGGACACTTTTTAGATGTGGTGATATAGGCAAAAACTTTTATATTATATTAAGAGGTAGTGTATGGGTAATTTACATTAATTATTCTTAGGTATTGGTTGGAAAAAGTGGACTTGGAGATGAGAGATTGGAAAAGTAAGAAAAGAAATCTGATAAGAAGTAAGAGAAGAAACATCAATAAGGAAAAGAATTTGATGAAGGAGAAGAATCTGTATTTTTTTTATCTTATTTAGGATGAAGATTAATTTGAAGATTTAGATGATGAAAAAATGCTTGAAAATAAATATTAAAATATGATGAAAGTAGGTAAAATAGAGTAAGGAGGTAGTTTTGGAGAAATTGCCTTAACTAATTCATTACCTAGATAAGCTACTATAGTATGTGCAGAAAATTGCTAATTTATTAAATTATCAAGAGAAGCTTTTAATAAATTTTTATGTAATCTATTTTAATAAACATCTTAGCTGAGTATTATACAAGAATTTAAAATAAAAATCTCTTGTTTCTCAAATCTATTAACATTTTTAATGATTGGTCAGATGCTGATGTAGGATTAATTTAATATCATCTTTCAAATTTTGAATATTCAATGAATACACTCATTTATAGAGAAGGAGAATTTATTAAAGGTGTTTATTTCATTGTTTCAGGAATGGTTGAAATACAACAAAAAAGTAAATCAAATATAAAAATTAAATAAAATCAATTAATTCATAAATAATAGATTATTCTTAATAGATATTCTGTTGGGTAAGTTTTTGGTTTTATGGAAATTTTATAAAATAAAAAATAAAGATAAACTAAAGCAGTTTGTTTAGCTGAAAAAGTTAAAATACTTTTTTTAGATGAAGATGTATTTATTTTATTAATTTTAGAGATTTAAATTATATTGTTGTCAAGGACAATCTTTAAAACTTTTAGAAACTATGACTAAATAAATGGAAAAAACATTTGAAAAAGCAAATTAAATATATCAAGAAGCATTAAAATAATCTAATCAAAGTTTATCTTTAAATCTTGCAGAGAGTGATAGTTATTTAAAACGATTAAAAACAGAAAATTAACCAATCTGTAAAACTAATAGAAGTAAAATAGTGAAAAGATCTCTTGATATATTAGGTAATGTATCTCATTAATCATCAAAAATATTAAGTTATTGTGAATGTGTATCTGCTTATAATAAAGATAATTAAGTAAAATTAAATTTAAATAATCCACTCATTTTAATTGAACCCAGTAAAAGAGTAAAAATGTAATAATTACAATTTTAACAACAATATTCACCAGGTCCACCTCCTACCTCAAGAATTCCTTAATTTTCTAGTAGGGATTCTAGATAAACCATTCTAAGGTAATTAAAATTACCAAGTTTATTTAAATAATAATAATCAGAATAAGATGATCGAATATCTATTAGACAATTAGATCCTGTTATTTGAATTGAAGAATTATGAAATATTGTTATAATAAATACTTAATTTTCCTTTAAAAATTCAAATAATATCTATGAATTATCATTCTTGATTTTTCATTCAAAATTTTCATTATTTTCTCCATCATCTTCATTGAACTTATCCTCATAAAAATGATATATATCTCTAAGTCTAGTTTAAGCTTCATTAAATTCCTCTTCTTCGATTCCCTCTTGAGTATATTTATACATATAAGATTTTCGAATTTGCATTTTATTAAATTTTTCATCTAAACTTTTCAATGACTCTATTATACTTGATGAATTAATAATAGAACTACCCATAAATTCATAATTTGATAAAGTTTTCTTACAAATATTTGTAAAAAACATATTGAATTGCTTAACTTTTTTTGCAAAACTTCCTCTTCTATAATAGGAATTATCAATAAAATGTTCGAATAGGGACTTTTATAAATCTATTTCTTTATTTGATATATTTCCTCTTAGACTTAGTGCTGCTGTTAGAAATATTCCCTATGTATAGTTAATACTAGTTTAATTATGATCTGTTGACATTAATTCTTTAAAAACTTAATATTCATCCATCTTTAAATATTCTTTATAGTAATCACTAAATTAATTATTTGTTAAACTGCATGTAAGCAATTTTAATTCTGGAAAAGGGATTAAATTTGTAGAAAGTTTTCTTAGACTGGAGTTAACATCTCCAGGATTCCTAAAAGGTGAGGAATTACAGCATATTGTTTAAGATACAAGAAGATTTGCATCATCATAATTAAATTATATTCCTAATCTATTTAAATTTTATTTAAGTCCTTAGTTATCATAAAAAATTAATTATTGTGCAGAATCCATTAATATATTAAAACTTAAAGTAGAATTATAAGGAGAAACAACACATAGATCATCTTATTTTATTGAAGGAACTAATAAATTGCATTATGTTATTGCAGTACTATATTCTTCTTCTAATTTTTGGGATAAAATCGCCGATAAACCAGAACCGGTACCTCCAATAATAGATGCAAATATTTAAAATCCTTAAAAGGAATCACATTATTCTACTTCTTATCGAATACTATCAATTAGAATGTCAACAATTTCATTTGAGCAATTATTTTTTACAAATCCAAAATTATTACCAGATGAATAATTAAATGAGAACTGATTACATGGATTAAAATCTATATTTGTGTAAGGTAAATCCTATCCTAAATCAACCTAAATACATCTAGGAAGTGCCTTCTTTTCGTGTAAGTTATAATACACAGCATTAGAAGTATTAAGTAAATGATTGTTACTTTATGTGACTTATTCGTTATCATTACAAAACTCACTATCTTTGAGCATTTCCTCCCAAAATTTCATGCCCATTTTAATACCAAAACCTCCTAACTACAATATTAATATTTCCCTCATTGATTTACAAGAATTTTATTAATAGGAGAGATTTTCCAAAAATAATTCTTATTTAAATGATTAAAAGCTTATAAACTAATAAATACTATAGTTCAATTGAATTGATCAATTTAATTATCATTTTTTTTCAATAAAAAATCATAAAATTATATTAAATCTTTTAATATTAAGAATTTATTGTTGTTAGTTATTATAAATAAGTCCTGATAATTTTTTTTTCAATTTGATAAGATTATAGAGAAATTCTGCACTTTAAATAAGGATAAATAAATTCAAAATGATAAGTTTTATAATTATTTTACTAAAGAAAAATATAAACATAAATTTAATTTTGAAATAAAAATTAAAAAAAATAATTTTTTTTTTTATTAACTTTTAGAATATTATGAAATTAATTGATTCAAGGTCTTCCTCTAAAATGCTAGTGTTTTTTTTTATGGCTTTGTTTTCTGCTTTTTTTGGCTTCTCCATTATCTCCATAATCTCCTTTATCTCCATTATCTCCATTGTCTCCATTGTCTCCATTGTCTCCATAATCTCCATTATCTCCATTATCTCCATTATCTCCATTGTCTCCATTGTCTCCATTGTCTCCATAATCTCCATTATCTCCATTATCTCCATTATCTCCATTGTCTCCATTGTCTCCATTGTCTCCATAATCTCCATTATCTCCATTATCTCCATTATCTCCATTGTCTCCATTGTCTCCATTGTCTCCATAATCTCCATTATCTCCATTATCTCCATTATCTCCATTGTCTCCATTGTCTCCATTGTCTCCATAATCTCCATTATCTCCATTATCTCCATTATCTCCATTGTCTCCATTGTCTCCATTGTCTCCATAATCTCCATTATCTCCATTATCTCCATTATCTCCATTGTCTCCATTGTCTCCATTGTCTCCATAATCTCCATTATCTCCATTATCTCCATTATCTCCATTGTCTCCATTGTCTCCATTGTCTCCATAATCTCCATTATCTCCATTATCTCCATTATCTCCATTGTCTCCATTGTCTCCATTGTCTCCATAATCTCCATTATCTCCATTATCTCCATTATCTCCATTGTCTCCATTGTCTCCATTGTCTCCATAATCTCCATTATCTCCATTATCTCCATTATCTCCATTGTCTCCATTGTCTCCATTGTCTCCATAATCTCCATTATCTCCATTATCTCCATTATCTCCATTGTCTCCATTGTCTCCATTGTCTCCATAATCTCCATTATCTCCATTATCTCCATTATCTCCATTGTCTCCATTGTCTCCATTGTCTCCATAATCTCCATTATCTCCATTATCTCCATTGTCTCCGTTATCTCCATTGTCTCCATAATCTCCATCATCTCCTTTATCTCCATAATCTCCATTATCTCCATCATCTCCATTATCTCCATAATCTCCATTATCTCCATCATCTCCTTTATCTCCGTAATCTCCATTATCTCCATTATCTCCATCATCTCCATTATCCCCATAATCTCCATCATCTCCATAATCTCCATCATCTCCTTTATCTCCATTACCTTCATCTTCATAGCCTCCATTTTCTCCTTGATCACTACTTTCCTCATCTTTTTAATCTTCACCATTTTCACCTTTCTCACTATCGTTTCCTTCTCCTTCTTCAGTGTTCTCTCCTTCTCCACCATCTTCTTCTTCACTTGTCCATTAATGTTCTCCATCTTCATCTCCAGTTGGCCAATCATCAGCTGGTTAACTATTTTCTTCACCTTATTAACCTTCTCCATTCTAGTCAGATTGTTCTTCTTCATTTTGCTCTTTAAAAACCACATCTCCTTCTTTATGGAATCGTCTTCCAGAAATACATAACAACAAAATGGTTATTAATAAAAATTTATTCATTTTAAAATTAATTATTATTAAAATATTTTTTTTGCTTAAAAATGTTCCTCTGACACAATATTAATATTTTATTTTAATTAATTCAGTTAATTATTGTATTTTAAATCGATTTATATAATATATATATAGATTTAAAAAGTCTTTAATACACGAAAGTGTTTAATTTACGTAATTAAATGAGGTACTNTTTGATAAGATTATAGAGAAATTCTGCACTTTAAATAAGGATAAATAAATTCAAAATGATAAGTTTTATAATTATTTTACTAAAGAAAAATATAAACATAAATTTAATTTTGAAATAAAAATTAAAAAAAATAATTTTTTTTTTTATTAACTTTTAGAATATTATGAAATTAATTGATTCAAGGTCTTCCTCTAAAATGCTAGTGTTTTTTTTTATGGCTTTGTTTTCTGCTTTTTTTGGCTTCTCCATTATCTCCATTATCTCCATTATCTCCATTATCTCCATTGTCTCCATTGTCTCCATTGTCTCCATAATCTCCATTATCTCCATTATCTCCATTGTCTCCGTTATCTCCATTGTCTCCATAATCTCCATCATCTCCTTTATCTCCATAATCTCCATTATCTCCATCATCTCCATTATCTCCATAATCTCCATTATCTCCATCATCTCCTTTATCTCCGTAATCTCCATTATCTCCATTATCTCCATCATCTCCATTATCCCCATAATCTCCATCATCTCCATAATCTCCATCATCTCCTTTATCTCCATTACCTTCATCTTCATAGCCTCCATTTTCTCCTTGATCACTACTTTCCTCATCTTTTTAATCTTCACCATTTTCACCTTTCTCACTATCGTTTCCTTCTCCTTCTTCAGTGTTCTCTCCTTCTCCACCATCTTCTTCTTCACTTGTCCATTAATGTTCTCCATCTTCATCTCCAGTTGGCCAATCATCAGCTGGTTAACTATTTTCTTCACCTTATTAACCTTCTCCATTCTAGTCAGATTGTTCTTCTTCATTTTGCTCTTTAAAAACCACATCTCCTTCTTTATGGAATCGTCTTCCAGAAATACATAACAACAAAATGGTTATTAATAAAAATTTATTCATTTTAAAATTAATTATTATTAAAATATTTTTTTTGCTTAAAAATGTTCCTCTGACACAATATTAATATTTTATTTTAATTAATTCAGTTAATTATTGTATTTTAAATCGATTTATATAATATATATATAGATTTAAAAAGTCTTTAATACACGAAAGTGTTTAATTTACGTAATTAAATGAGGTACTTTTATAAATTCAATTGAAATTTAAATCTAAATTTCAATATGAAAATAATTATAGACTTAATTAGCATCTTTAAAAAGACAGGTATAATTTTTGAAATGTTTTAAGTAAAATTCTATTATATTGATTAAGCCAATAATTTTCAAACTAATATCATGGATTCTGCCAGATACTTGATAAAATAAACAAAAGGTCTTGTTAACAATGAGTTTCCATACAGTTTATGTATTATTTGGCTTTAATATTTGATTTGATGCATTAATAGTACTAATGATTTGATTGCAACAGAGTACCAATTTTTTATAATTTTAGGATCCTTATTAGTAATATTTAGAGAAGCAATTATGTTGTGTAGACATACAAAGACTATCAGAAAAGCATTAATCAGCCTAATTTTAACAGAATTTTCTTTGGCATATTTCATATGGGTTAAGAGGGTCCTCTTCATATTTTTTATTGTAGATTCTTTTCTAGAGGCTAAGCACAATGCATAATATAAAAATGAATTTAAACATTAATTTAATTATATATATTTAAAAATTGGCATCTTGATCTTATTTGAAGTATTGATAATATTAAAAATGATTCAAACAACATTATGAATTAAATAAGATAGTAATTTTTAATTTAAATGGAAGAGATTATGTTAATCTTCTTTCAAAAAATAAATTTCTAATAATATATATAAAATAACAGCAAACTAACTAACATTAATATTATTAATAAATATTATGTTCAATTCAGCTCAAAAAAGGACTCCTCCTTAAGTTTATGTAACTCCTAGATATAGAACTACATAATCTGAATATCAAAGTTCGAATTCTGAGAGATTATTTGAGAAGAGTAAAGATAATTCTATGAATTAACTGAAAATTCTTTAGTAAATTGGTTATGGTAAATTTAGTAAAGTCATGTTATCAATGTAAATTAATTCATAATAAAGTTAGGTTTAATGGAGAAAAGTTTGCATTAAAGATAATTAATAAGAGTTGCACAATGAAGACTTAGACTACTTCGTTGTTATAAAGAGAAATGCAAATAATGAAATAGCTCAATCATCCAAATATTGTTAAATTATATAAAGAGTTTTCAGATGATAAAAATGTTTACTTGCTTTTAGAATATTGTAATTAAGGTTCACTTTTTAATTAAAAATTTGATTAAACGCAAATAAAATAAATAATAAAGGAAGTGTTGCTTGCTTTGAAATATCTCCATAGTTAAGGGATAATGCATAGAGATATCAAACCAGAAAATATTTATTTGCATAATAATCACGTTAAATTAGGAGATTTTGGTATTGCTTAGTATATAAAGAAAAAAAGTAAATCATTTTGTGGAACCTTAGATTATATGGCTCCTGAAGTTATTCGTTAAAATTGTATATATTTAATTAAATATAGATTATGATAATCGTATAGATATTTGGTCAGTTGGAATTTTGACATATGAATTAAATAATCTTTAACCTCCAATTAAGGATAGAGATTAATAGATATAAATGAGACGTATTATTTCAGAAGAGGTTCAATATCCTAGGCATTTTGATGATAAATTGAAAAATTTTATATAAAAATGTTTGAAAAAAAGATGTGAAGAGAGGGCAACAATTGATGAATTATTGAATGACGAATTTCTTCATTCTTGATATTATTACTTTAGGTTATAGAATAAATTTCGATTAATTTATAACTTTTATTGAAATATTATAATTAGAATCAATTATAAAAGGTAGAACAAACATGAATTAATTCTAAGAAAACTCATAGGAATCTGAATTCTCTTTTTAAGGGGATTAAATTTCTTAGTCAGATAATGAATTTCAGGATTAAAATAATAGTGATAAATATTCACAATAATGGTAAAAAATTAATTTTTAGTATTAGTTCATTTGATGGAGGATTGAAAGATTCCTTAGAAATTATAAAAGATATGATTAAAAAAGAAAGATTGGAAAAAAATAATAAAAAGGATAAGGAGCAGTAATTATATTAACATTAAAAATAATAAAATGGCTAATAGTAAGCATCCTTTCAAATAAAAAAATAAAAAGTCTAGGTATGATATAATTTAAATAAATAGTAACCCAATAATTCTGAGAAATAAGAGATCAAAAAGCAAAATTAATCAGAAAATTTTTAAATGTTAGAAAATAATATAAATGAAGATTTTGATTCAGATTGGGATGTTTAAGATTTATTTTAATCTCTTAATATTTTATTAGAAGACTCTAAAAAATGTTAATTTTGTAGTAAAGAAATGAATAAGAACAATTTGAAATCTCATGAAGATCAATGTGCTTATAAAGTTGACCAATATGATGAAATTTAATGTCCATATTGTGGAGATAATGTAATTAGAGCCTTTGTTAATGATCACTTTTAAGAGTGTATTTTATACTATGAGGATTAATTTTTAAAATTAGAAGGAGTTTAAGAATGCAGTATATGCATGAATGAAATAAAAGAAAAGAAAAAAGTTCTAAATTGTCATCATTTCTTTCATTACGATTGCATTAAAGATTGGCTTTCAAAAAAAATGGAATGTCCAGTATGTAGAAAGCAAGTTTTAGAAGGATTTAATTGAAAAAAGTGTTATTAAATTTCATACTATAATTATTTATTTATATGTTTATGAAAACTAATTAAATGTTAATAGAATTTCTATGAAATTTGTAATGGAAATTAATCAGGAAAGATTATTAGATAATTAAAATACAAAATATTCTTATGATAAATAGTTTAACTAAACTCAATAAAGAAGACCCTTTTCATAATGTTGAAGTCTAAAACCCTAATATAAATTAACAGATATTAGTGCAAGAACATGAAATATAAATTGAAGAAAACAAACAAAATTCTATTTAAGACTTCCAATACTTTGAATAACAACAAGAATCCTAAGAATCATTATTTATTTAATGTATTTTGTGTGATCAAGAAATGGAACTTTAATTTTACGACATTCATTTAAGGATGTGTGAAGAATAAATTGGGAATATTAATTTAATAGAGTAATAATGTTAAGATTGTGGAGAATAGATTGTTAAATTATATTTAAATGATCATTTAGAAAATTGCGTAAGCAGATTTTGGATTTAAGTAAAATGCCCTTATTGCTATAATGCATTTCTTAAAGCTGAATTAACCAATCATATTTTAGAATGCCCCATGTATTTAGATTAACAAAAAAAGGAAAAATAAGGAATTTAGAATTGCTCAATATGTTTAGAAGATATTACAATGAATAAAACCTAATTGAATTGCTCTCATTCTTTCCATGATATTTGTATATAAAATTGGTTCAAATCAAAGAATAGGTGCCCTATTTGTAAGAAAGTACAATTAAAATTAATATGAATGCGTCATTTTATTTATTTTTTTTAATATATTTCTACAAATCGTCCTAATGTAAATTTATTAGAAAATAGATGATTAAGATGGTTCAGAATCAAATCTTATGGGATTGTTTTTCTTTTAAAGTTAATCAAAGGAATGCCATTATATAGGATATATAAAAGTAAAAAATGATTTTATGAGATTTTTTGGATGCGTTCAATAAATAATAGAGTTAAATAAAAATAGACTATGAATGAAGTTCAAAATAGTTGCTTTATTTAGTTGTTCATAAACAAATTAATTAAAAAAAATTGTGTTTATTTTGATATTAAAAATAAATTTAATGAATAGTGATAATTATAAGACTGAAATTCATAATATGATTGAAAATGGTAAGGATCCAAAAGACATGGTAATTTAAATGTGTCGTCCATAATGTAAATGGTATGATGATAAATACGACAGATGTGTAAAGGCTTTCCTTTCATTGAAAAATGCTGATCCTGAGAAGAATTGTGTATAATTAAAATTTATAGAAAGATGTATCCTTATAGAGATTTGGTGACTTGTGTAGAAGCCTGTGTTTAACCAAAAATTTAACATGCTTTGAGAGGAAACGAGCATGGTTCAATATTTGCATGAAATATAAATAATAATATAAAAATAAAATAAGAATAAATAAGTTGATATTGTATGGTGGTATTACTCATTTCTTAATAAAGGATACTTCTGGTAAGATTTGTTTTCTTGATGAAGGAGGAGTAAGTTATCTGGCTTTTTTAATATTGTCTATAACAAAGTTTTTAGATAAATCTATAAGTGATGACTGTTGTATGAGAGATTTACTTAAATGAGTATCAATAGAGGAATGTTTGATTTGAGGAGGTACATATCTTGGTAAGATTCCTTTAATGATATATGACCTAAAGATTATTTGGAATAGAGTACCAGTACATCTCATCAGTTTAAATGATTAATTTGCCTTTTCTAATTTTTCCATATTCAATGGGTGTAAATGAAATAACAAATGTAGTGCCTTCTCTTCCATAAGGTTCTAGATCACCAACTTTTGGTATTATAGAAAATTCTGCATCTGAATCAGGAGTGAAACCTGCAAAGAATTTAGCATAGTTTTTTGTTTTATTTGTTAGTTTGAATGAGACACTAGTAGTTTTATTAAGAGGTGAACTAATGATAATAAAATCATCTTCATCTGGTGGTGTGGCTTCTAAAATAATTTTATATCTAAAATTAATTATATAGATGATACTTCCATCTTCCTCCACTTTATCTCAACACAATAAATTCGAGACTTGCTTTAAAAGGTTTCATTGGTTAAAAGCGTACAGCATAATGTAAATTCTCATGAGGATTACTTAGGTAATTTTTAGTACACTTAACACTAAAGCATTTTCGAATCATTTGTTGTAAATCAACAGGAACATTCCCCAATTCAAATTCAAATTTATCATCAGCTTATAAACTTTAAGCAATCCCTTATAAACCAATTTTAATTTCATCTTCCCATTTATCTCTACATTTTGCTTTAAAATGAAATAAGGTTTAAGTAGAAATACTTTCAGTCACACCTTTGATAGGAAAAATCCAAGATATTTTTTCATTCATCTAAACAATGACTTCTGAATAGTAACTAGTAATCTCTCTTGGAACAAAAGAATAAGGAATTTAGAGTACATTCATTCCAGGCACTAATACCTTATCATTTTTGCTTGTAAGTAATTTAAATATATCTTTATTATGTCCTTATGCATCTAAATCAATTTTGACTGTAATAGGATCTTTAAAGGGATTCTTAAAATGCACAACTGAACTAAAATCCTTATTCAATCCTATACTAACAGTTGCAGCAGGAAACTTAGTTGGTGGAAGTCCAGTACCAAATGCTAAATAATGCCATTTACCTATTGGAGATATAAATACGATTTCAGATTATTCAATCTAATCTAATGATGAAGGTGTATATCTTATATTAACCTTTAAATATTCATAAGGTTGTATTATTAATTCATCAGGTAATATATCGAAATTAGTAGGATTGCTTATTCTACATTATAATATAATCTTTTATTCTGATGGATTCTCTAATAGAACTACTTATTGTTCTACTTTCCCTAAAGATGCCTTTAACAGATTTAATTTAACGACTGGTTATTCTTCACAAGTCAATATAAATTCATACCATACTTCCCCTAATTATCTATTAACAAATGCTACACTTCCTCTCCATCTACCTACTTTTAATGGTGCAAATGTCAATTCATATAAAGCTTCTTTATTTGCACCAATTGCGAATTAATCTTCTCCTATCAATCCATCCCCATTTATTATAGCTTCATAAATAGCTGTCTCTGAAAGTGGATTTGATAATGTTAATTATATCACTGTAGCTTATCTTATCAAACATGATAATTCTAATGTCTGTAACGATTTCGGTGATTCGGTATTCATAAATACAGTATACCACAAATATCTTCCATTATCTTCTGTAAATGTTATTGAACCTGTATATTATCCAGATAATATTGGTTATACTATTAATTAATAAATCCCTTTTTTCCCTGCTCCTATTCTTATTTAAGATGGACCTGTTGCATATATCAAATCTGTTTCCACTTTATAAACAATCTCCTTATCTGTCAAGTTTTTTAATTCAATGTCTCTCTTAAATGCCTTTCTTGGAGAGCAATTCAATATTATATGTTCTTCTGCTACTGGTTCTTCTCCTATCCCTATCAAATCATATTCAAAAACATCATTTGTTAATGCATTATTCAAAATTAATTTAGCTTCACTCTATGCTATCCATAAAGGATGAAATGTTATTGGAAATTATCCTGTTGATTTCTTCTTTATTATAAACTCCTTATTCGGACATTAAAATAAATTATCTCCACTTTAACTCAATTACACCTTTATCACCCAATCTTTATCTGAACCATTAACTATTGGTACCTCTTATATCACCTATTATCTAGCTGGTATTCTAAACTCTAAAGTTGCCTTCACTATTTTTGGTAATACTTAAGCAGTTAATTTATATCTTCTAATATCAAATTTATTCTTCAAAGTTAATATAACATTAAAATCTTTAGTTGCATTCTTAAATGCATAATTTATAACCAATTTACCATCATTATATCTATCTATTGATTTCTTAACACCATCTGCTACCGTTAGAATAGTTGGCACTTAAACATATTGTGTAGCTGGAAATACATCCAATTCAAATGTTATTTAATCTAAATTTCCTCCAGGAAAATTCAAATTATTCTCAAAATTATTTGATGAACTTGTTTTATCAACTACGTTTTATTACTTGATCTTTTATTTAAATTACATTATTTATTAAATCTATTATCTTGCTCTAACAATCTATTCATTCTTAAAAGGAATTTGAAAAGGTATTGAAATTGTCTAATCAACATACAGCAATTTTTCAGGTTTAAATTCACCTGATAAATTAGGCAATTCTACTGTCCCTTATAAATCATGTTAAAATTCTCCCACTTAAGGATCTGTAAATACTATTTAACATTTATGGGTTTCCATTGTCAATGGAATATATTATAATATTAAATTAACTGTCTAATTTTTACGTATTCTAACCCTATCTTATTAACAAAAGAATGCTGGAAATTCTTCTTCTTAAGTTTATTGTATTTATTATTAAACTTATTATTTTCCTTTTTTCTTCTATTAATCTAATTATTTTTTCTCATGTTAGATTAAAATTTAAAAATCACCATCAAACAAAAATTTATTGGTTATCTGAATTTAAAAATCAAAAATTTCATATAAAATTGAACTCACATTCCATTATTTCTCAGATTTTCTACCAGTTATGCTTGATTTTAATTCAAAAACTAAAGCTGCTGCTTAAACATTTGACTCTTTTTTATTAGTAAATATAACCCTTCCTGTAACAGGTTATGAAATACGAGATGTAAATTTAATCCTATATTAATAAGGTACATCTGGTTCTATTTTAATACTTTCATCTCCATCTAATTAAAAATCTGGATGACCTTCATACTTGACCCAATAACTAATAGGTTTTTGAGTTGGATTTTTAAGTTCAATACTTTTAATAACTTCCTCACCTAAGACACAGGAAAATTATATCGGATCTTTTTATGGAACATAATAAGGTAAAGCAAAAAAGAATTATACAAGCATCATTATCATTTCTCTACAATTAGGATAATATATATCTTATGGTACTAAATGAGATTATAATCCAAAGTCTTATAAAGCTGGGAACAACTTTTCTGTATTATGTTTATAATCATCTTCAGTATTGCATACATTCCTTAAATTAACAAAGAATTTAGACATTGATGGTCCAATGAAGGTGGTTAAAGCATCTGAAATAAAGATGGAATCTTTAAAATCAAGATCAAAATTCTTTATTCTTTTCTAAGCAGAATGTTGAATCTCATAACAGATTTCATAAAAATAGAGTAGAATTCCTTCAGGTTAAGATATTACATTAGATCCTTCTAAGTAATACTCAGGAATAGTCAACTTATTTGCAGGTATACCTGGTAATGTTTTAAAGGATTTTGCTGTGATTCTATTTAAATAATAAATCTTAAGTATTTAATAAAATAGTGTAATCCAAGAATCATATTGTAAATAATTGTATTTAGTGAGATTTAATCTGAGGAAATTTTCTGGGACATTTTCATATTTAGAGGGAGGTTAATTTTTAAGCCAAGCTAAATAATCCTAATAACCTAACAAATATTCAGATCTGATATGATTTAATAAAGCTCCTTCAATTTTTAGTTGTCTTATCAATTCATCATATTATTTATAGAGAACTTCTGCTCTTTAGGATTTCTTCCAATTAGGATCAATATTTTATTTATAGGAAAATGTAGTCTTACCAGTTAGAAAGGTAATTAATTCAAATATTTATTACCCATTAGAGTTTATCACATCTTCTGGGTATTTAGTTATACTAGTAGTCAGAACATGATAATTAAGCCATCTGACAATATATTCATTAGCTTATTCTAATAAATCTCTTCTTATAGGAGTATATCCTAAATTAGCAGTTCCTTTTGAAGATGTAGTAGATTTAACAGAAAAATTATGTTTTGGATTTTTTTCATTGTCTGAATCTACATTCTCATCTTCCACATATTAGATTGGCTTTTTGTCCTCAACTTCCAATTAGTATCTACCCATTCTCCACAGAAAACTCTGATTTGTAAAAATACAATTATCTGTAGTACCTGATATATAAATGATATAGACTCTAGCTTCATCAATGAATTCAACTCTTGTTGTAAAACTTAATGGTTTTTTATTGCTAAATACCACTTCGACAGTTAATTTATTTTTAGCAACACCTAAAGTGGAGCCTTCAGGAAATTTAAGTTCTAAATTAAAATTACTAATTTCTTATGCCCAATTATATTTAAGATTTAAATTCTCATACCCATCATTAATTACCCTAAAATAACATCTAGATTATATGTTAAGAGGTACAATAGGTAAGATTACTTCTTTTTTGTCAAATAGTAATCTTGGATAAGCTCCCGATCCACTCATAGTGATTTCAACATAAGGTAATGTTTAGGGAATCTCTGGATCTTCCAATATGTATAATTATA